TTTCCCATTAAGTTTATTGGTACATTTTAGGTATAAAATACAGTTACATTCATCATTAGGATCTTGTACCATTACATGAGTATCTTGGTTCTTTGTTCAATATAATCTTGGAAACATTAGCCCCAACAGTTAGAAAAGAGAAAGAAATAAAAGGAATAAAGATAAGTTAAACTGTTATTATTTGTTGACAATATGATACTCTACATAGAAGACCCAAAAAACTCGGCCAAAAGACTTCTAGACTTAATTGACAGATTTAGTAGAGGAGATGGATAAGAGATAAACACTCAAAAATCAACAGCCTTCTTGTACACAAATAACGGACTCACTGAGAGAGAAATTAGGGAAACAATCTCTTTCACAGTAGCATCCCCCAAAAATGAAATATCTAGTAATCAGTCTAACGAAGGAAGCAAAAGACCTCTCTCTACATTGAGAACTACAACACTCTGAAAAAAGAGATTGAAAAGGACATAAGAAAATGGAAAGCCATCCCTTGTTCCTGGGTAGGAAGAACCAATATAGTGAAAATGGCCATAGTTCCAAAACTGCTATATAGATTCAATGCAATCCTGATTGAAATCCCAACAGTATATTTCACAGAACTAGAGAAAACAAACCAAAAATTCATTTGGAACCAGAAGAGACCTAGAATAGCAAAAGCAATTCTAAGCAACAGAGACAAGGTAGGGGGTATCACAATCCCCAACTTGAAACTATACTTCAAAGTTACTGTGATAAAAACAGCATGGTACTGTCAAAGAACCAGACCTGAGGATCACTGGAATAGATTAGAAGATGCAGAAACAACTCCAGACATACTCAGCTACCTGTCTTTGACAAAGGAGCCAACCATCCTCACTGGAGGAAAGATAGCCTATTTAATAAATGGTTTTGGAAAAACTGGATTTCAACTTGCCAATAACTAAAACTAGACCACTATCTTTCACCATGTACTAAACTAAAATACAAGTGGATTAAAGATCTAAATATTAAAACAGAAACACTAAACTTGCCAGAAGCTAAGTTAGGTAAAACTCTCTAAGACTTTGGCATAGGAAAAGACTATGAACAAAACCTCAGTAGCACAGGAACTAGCAGAAAGAATTAACAGCTGGGATCTCATCTTATTAAAAAGCTTCTGCAGTGCAAGAGAAATCACCAACGGAGCTAAGAGACAACATACAATCTGGGAAAAAAATTTTTACCAGCTGTTCCTCAGACAAAGGTCTATTTTCTAGAATATATAAAGAAGTCAAAAAATTCAGACCCCCCCCCAAATATAAAGACCCAATTCAAAAATGGACATCTGAAATGAACAGACATTTCTTAGGCAAAGAAGTAAAAGCAGCAAATAAACATATGAAAAAATGTTCAACACCACTGGTCATTCGAGAGATGCAAATGAAAATAGTGCTGAGATTCTACCTCACCCCAGAAAGAATGGCTGCTATCAAGAAATCAACCAATAACAAATGCTGGCAGGGTTGTGGGGAGAAAAGAACCCTTCACTGATGGAGGGCGTGTGGTTTGCTGCAACCACTGTGGAAATCAATATGGAGATATCTCAAACAACCAGAATTGGAAGTCCCATTTGACCCAGCTTTTCCTCTGCTGAGTATCTTCCCCAAAGAATTAAAAGAATCATACCACAGTGATATATACTCACCCATGTTTATACTGGCACAGCTTGTAATAGCTAAATCTTGGAAACAGCCCAATTGCCCATCAACTGGAGACTGGATAAAAAAGATGTGGGTTTTTTATAAAATGGAGTACTACTCAACCATAAAGAACGAGAAACTAGAGACATTTATAGCTAAGTGGATGCACACTGAGGTGATACTCTTAAGTGAAATAAATAGGACACACGTGTAAATACCAAATAGTTTCTCTGGTGTGAAAAACGAAAAGTGTAAATAAGGATCAAAATGTATAATTGATATTATAAAATAAGAAGAAAATGTCCAAAGGAATAGGGGAAATGGGAGAGGTAGGGGAAAGGAAAGAAGCAAAAAGAAAAAATATGAGAAAAAGAAAAAAATGGAAACAAATTATTTCTAAATAGGGAAGGATAGCGGGGGTGAAGGGAGGGGTGAGGAATGGGGAAGAAATAACCAAGATACATCATGTAAAGGTTTGAGATCCCAATGATGAATGTAACTATATTGTATACCGAAAATATACAATAAATAAACTTAATAAAAAAAACCAATTCCCTATGTGGGAAACTATAGGAAAAGCAACTCAGTTTTATCAAATAAATTGCAAGGAAGAGGGAAGGAAAGGTAACACATTTTTAGAGACTTAAAAGATATAAAAATCAAGTGTAAGTGTATGCCTTGGATCATGAATTGAATAAAATAATTGTAAGGAGAGAAAAACAGAAATATGGATTTTCTTTTTTCATATGCAGTTCATTTTTTACTTTTCTATTGCTGTGTAACAACTTATTTTTAAATTCAGTTTCTTAAGCCAATAAGCACATTATCTTGTATTTTCTTTGGGTTAAGGATCCAGGCATGGCTTGAGTTATCTGGCTCAGGATATCTCATCTCTCAAAGGTTGTATTCAAGATATTAGTCAGTGCTGAATTCATCTCCAGGCTTCACCAAGGTGGATCCACTTCCCATGTGGTAGTTGTAGGATTTAGTTCTTGCTGACTGTTGTACCGAGGATTTAGTTTATCTCTGGCTGTTGAGGCTCTTGAGCTTCTATACACAGCTTGTATACTTTTTGTGTATACTTTTCCATAGGACAGTTCACAAAGTGGCAAGCTGGCATCATCAGAAGAAAAAATTGAGAGAGTAAGAGGGAGAAAAAGATAGAAGCTGATGTCTTTTTGTGATATAGTCTCAGAAGTAATATCCCACCATATTTGCTGTGTTCTGTTTATTAGAGATATCAGTGGATACAGCCCATACTCAAGGGTATACATACCAGGAGTTATTTTAGAAGCTGCTTGCCAAAGACTAAATTTAATATTATTAAGGGATTATTGACTTTTAGGTGTAATAAAATATGATTATTTTGAAAGATTTGATGGTTATATTGCAAAACAGTTTTATATTTTAGAGTTATACCAACATATTTCCACATAAAATGAAATAATGTCCAAGATTGGCTTTAAAATAATTCAGTGAGAGACCAGCAGGAGGCAGAGTAGGTGCAGATATTTGAAATTTTCCATAAAAATCATGAAAAGAAATATGAATAGGTAAATAAAAATTCTCAGCTCCAAAGTATGTATTACTTAGTATAGATGATTCATTTTTACATTTTGGATTCTGGAAAATCATTTATATTTTCATTGTAAAATTTGCATAAAATTTACTATTTTAACCATTTTTAAGTGTACAGTTTAGTGGCATTAAAGACATTCACATTGTTCTGCAGCCATTACCACTATCTCCAGAACCTTTTCACCATCCCAAACTCTGTGTTTACTAAACTATGAGGAGTCACTCCCTTATACCTTTGCCTATGGTATCCCCTACTTTACCTTCTGTCTCTATGAATTTGATTAGTCTACGTATGTCCGATGAATGGAATCATGCAGTATTTCTCCGTTTATGCCTAGCTTATTTCACTTAGCATAAGGTTCATCCATGTTGTAGCATGTATCTCTATTTCTTTTCTTTTTTTTTTTTTTTTTTCTGCTTTTCATCATTTCCTTTCCTTTGCTTACATTGCGCATGCCTCAAAGCAGAGAAATTCTTGCATACCAGGGATTGAACTCGATACCTTGCACTTGCAAGGCAGGTGGCAGAACCACTGAGCTAAATCCCCGGCCCTATCTGTATTTCTTTTTAAGGCAGAATAATTTTGCATTGTATTGGCCGGGGATTTAGCTCAGTGGTTTTGCCGCTTGCTGCGCAAGCACAAGGACCTGAGCTTGATCCCCGGTACCAAAAAGAAAAAAAATTGCATTGTACATATATATCATATTTATCCATGTGTCCATTGGTGGACTTTTGGTTTGTTTTCACCGTTTGGCTGTTGGGAATAATTCTATGAACATAGGTTTACAAATTCTGTTCAACTCCCTGCTTTCAATTCTTTTGTGTATATACCCAGAAGTGGGATTACTAATTCAAATGGCAGCTCTGGTTAATTTTTTGAGAAACAGCCATAAATTTTTTTAACACCATTTTACATTCCTACCAGCCATGATATGTGTTCCAGTTTTTTTATATCCTTACTGAAACTTGTTTTTCTATTTTTTAAAAAATTAAAAAAATTCATAATAGTCATCTTAATGCATGGGAAATGTTATCTAATTGTGGTTTTTATTTATGTTTCTCTAATGATTAGTGATGTTGAGCGTCTTTCCATGTATTTACTGGCCATTTTCACTTCCTCTTTGCAGAAATGTCTATTCAAGTCCTTTGCCTATTTTCTAAACAGAAAGATAAAAAGTCTGTTGGGTGGCATATTCATCACAGAGAATCATTGCTATTTCTTAGTTCTGTATCCCTCATTGGATATGAAAAGCCTTGTGAGGGCCAAGACAGTGTTTCTTCTGTCACTTTGGTGTTGCCTTCAACGTAATGATAAGTAAATTTTTAAAAATTAAAGGAATTCTGTTTGTTCTTATATGTTACAAAAATATATACTCAGCTTTAGTCCTGGGATTTTAAGCTAAGTTTTCTGTGGTAAAGAGAAATACAAAGGAAAAAACCACCGCCACTAGTCCCTCAGATAATCTCATTTCATCTCTATTAAACAAAATTAAGGATATTTTATCCTTATCTTCAAATACTAAAAACTAGTAACAGAATACTTAGAAAAATGAATATAATTTATATTAATGAGTTTTTTCTTAGATAAGTTTTTAATTAAAGTACATTTCTGAAATAATACTTTTAAATAGAAATATTAATAGTGATGTAACTAAGAATTTCAGAAAGTCAAGGAATAATAAAAAATGACACTTAAAATGTTAGTTTTTGTTTCTGAAACCTGATAGCAATCTGTGCCCTTTTTTTTGTATTTGAAAGGTTGCTGTTTGATCAAGACAAATCTCTTACATCTGAGTTTTATCTTCAGCCTGGTATAAGTGCTATGTGCAAAGGTGAGAATGATTCTCTTCACTATTCAATTTTTATTTCTATTGGTGCTTGTTTGCAGTACATAATAATTACATTTGTCATAGGAAGTTGGTTACATGTACATTACATTTTAATTCTTTTTATATCCCCTTCCCCTCCTTATAAATATCTTTCTTCATAATTGGTATCATGCTACATATGTTTCTTTCTTTGACTATATTCATCTAGTGTGATTTTTTGTTTGTTTGTTTTTATTTTAAATGAGTTTATTTAAACAAGATGCCTGACTTGAAAGGAAAGCTAGTATTTTTAAAAGGATAACTTAGTCCTACTTAATGAAAGATTGCCCTATATAAAATAGCTACATACAAAAAGTTATAAAATTATTCTTGGTTTTAGAATGACAAATGAAAAACATCAAAATTCTCCAATCAAACAGGGGTACAATAATTTTTATGGATTTTTTTGGTTAAAATGGTGAAAACAGATTAACTTACTAAAATATAAAAATGGAGTAACATGCCACTAACTTAGGAGAAAGTGAGTTTTTTTTTTTTACAAAACTAGTACTTTTTCCCATCCTATCAGTGGTAGGTAGGGTGGAGTTTCAACTTGATTGGCTTTGGGATCCATCTAGGTAGAAATTGGTGGAACTGGCTTCTAGGTTTGTCTGGGTGAATCATGGAGGCATTGCCTTGGGGTCTGTGTCTAATTCCTCTATGGCTTAGCCTATTGATGAATTCATAGATGAATGGGCTCTTAGGAAGTGGTGTCTAGTTGAAGGAAGTAGGTCATGGGGTCATGACCGTGGGGTTTAGATCTGATCCCTGATCCTTCTGCTCTGGTACTCTTTCCCTGCTCTGCTTCTCAGCCACAATGAACTGAGCAGCTTTGCTCTGCCACACCCTTTGGCTGTGATGTCTCAGTCTTGGAGCCAGCCAATTATGGACTAAAACCATGAGCAAATTAAATCTTTCATACTTTAAGTTGTAGGTGTTGGGTATTGTATCTTAGTGATGAGAAATCTGACTAGTACCAAAAAGTGGTGCCCACAGTGGGGTCATTGCTGTGGCTATACTTGATCATGTGTTTTAGAAACCTTTGGAACTAGTTTGCTGGAGGAGTTGGGAAAGGTTTGGAGATGTGAGCTAGAGAAACTATACAATGCTGTAAATAGAGTCTGATGGGTGATTCTGATCAGAGATCAGAACACAAGAATTCTAATAGGAATGTAGACAGTAAAAGTCAGGCTCAAGCAGTTTCAGTTGGGATAGGAGGCCATGTATATTGCTCTGTCGCAGAAAATTTGTCTACATTTTTCCCCATGTTCTGAGACTTTGTGGGAGACTGAGATGAATGAAGAGCAGTGGCTTAATTAATCTGAGTGAGGAAATTTCAAACCTAATATTCAAACTGTGGCATAAGTACTGGCTGCTTTTATCCTTCTTTGTAGTGAGAATCAAGGCAAAATGAAGAGCAGAAAAAATTGAAACACTTAAATTTTGGCTCAGAAGGAACCATGAATAAAGTTGAGATCAAAAGAAGCATGGCTGCTGAAGACATTAGTACCATTAAAAAGAAACCAAGGCTTTGTACAAGGACCAGAAGAAAGATGCCTTGAGTGTATCTCAGGAATCAGAAAGCCTCCACCTATTGCAGGCTCAGGATGTAACAGTGTCAACCTTTCTTAAGAAAAAAAGAGTCCCTGGGACGCCTGCTCAGAAGAAGAAGGGCCCCATAAGTTATTGGTTCCCTGGGAGTCATTTCACTGAGCTGTCATCCAGGCACTTAGAGGCCACTGTAGCTATGGTCCAAAGGCGCCTCAGTACTGCTTCAGCTGACAGTACAGCTTGCCATTGTCCACATGATGTTAATTTTACTGGCTTGTTGAGTCCGGAAGGCTTTCATTCAGATTTGAAAGGAAGAACTCGCTGGAAGCAGCCTGTGAGAAGGTAGTGCATAAAGCTATGGAATGCAACCAGTGGTGCAGTGGAGACCTCAGGAAGTTGGATATGCCAGAAACATGAGAAGCTGCATGCTGTGAAGAGAGTCACCCCAAGAGAGAGGCCATGTGTGCACCAACTGGGAAGGCTTCAGGGATCAGGCGCCTGAGCCCTTTGGAACTCACATTTTACCACTGTATGCCCTGGATGCCAGATGTGGAGCTACAGCACTTAATGTTTGCCCTGCTGGGTTTCAGTGTTGCTTTGGTCTGATTCTTTTCTATCCACCTATTCATCCCTTTTGGAATGGGAATGTTTACCCTGTGCCATTGTATCTTGGGCTTATGTAACTTGTTTTGGATTCTACATAAGTTCAGGGCTAAGAGTTTGCCTTGAATCTCAGAAGAGATTGGAGTTTTGGAAAAGGTTGGAACTATTGACCCTTTGGTGAAGGGATTATTGCTTTTCTAGTTGTATGCAGGACAGTTGTGTTTTGTTAGGTGGAATTATGAATTTACCATTGTCTTTATTTGGAGCTTAGATATGGTTTGAGATGTGTTTGTGTACCAGATTGAAAAAGGATGAAATGTGGCAGTTAGGGTTGAGTTTCAACTTGGTGTCTTAGTTACTTTCTTCATTGCTTGGGCAAAATACTGAACACTCATAGCTTAAAGGAGGAGGTTTAGTTTGGCTCATGTTTTAGAAGTTTCAGTCCACTATCGGCAGGTTGAAATGCAGAAAGCAGCATGGTGGAAGGGCTGGCTGAGGATGAAAACTGCTCATGTCATGGCAGCCTAGAATCAGAGAGAAAGGAGCCAGGGAGGGAGGTATACCATCCCCCAGTAACTTGCCTTTTCTGGCTTTCAGCAACACACTCAGCTGCTAAACTCACCACTAGATGATTCCACTGATGAGTACAGCACACCCATGAATCAGACACCTTCCACAAGCTGCACCTATGAGTGTGAGACCTTTGGGGGACATTCTTAATCTATACCATACAATTAGCTTTGGGATCTATCCTGCAGATTGGTGGAACCCACTTCTAGGTGTGTTGGGATGGGTCTTATTAAGTGTGGCCTTGGGGTCTGTGTCTGGTTCCTCACCCCTTCTGCTCTGGCACTCACCCAGGTCTTCTTCCAGAATGCCAAGAACTAAGCACTTTTGTTCTGCCACACCCTTCTGCCATGATGCCGTTGATTGGAGCCAGCCCATCATAAGTTGTGGGTGTTGGGTATTAGATCTTAATGATGAGAAAGCTGCCTAATACACCAATTCCATCTGTTTTTTATCAAAGTACACATTGGCTATTTAGTTAAGAAAAACATTATGCTTCTGTATAGGCATCAGTTACTTTATATACAGTAAAGGATTGGAGAAGGGGAAAATGAAAACCAAATTTTAAAGAAAATTATAATGTAATTGTCAGGATGTGGTGCAACAAAATTGCTTTTTTTGAGGGGGAGCTATTAAGGATTAGACCCAGGGTCTTTGCACTGAGCCATATCACCAACTCTTTTTTTTTCTAGAATTAATTAATTTTTGTTTTTTTGAGATACGGTCTGACTTTGTAGCTCAGGCTGGCCTCAAACTCACAGCAATCCTCCTGCTTTAGTCTGCTTGGATTACTGGTGTGTGCCACCATGCCTGGCATTTGAGGCACAGTCTCACTAAGTTGCCCAGGCGGGGCTTGAACTCACCCTCTTCCTGCCTCAGCCTCCCAGAGTGCTGGGATTACAGGCATACACCACCACACCCAGCCAAATTGTTGTTTTTTAAAAAAATTAACTTTATTGATACATTTTAGGTATGCAATATAATGACATTCATCATTGGAAATTTGCACCTTTACATAATCTCTCTTGGTTCTTACTTTTTCCCCCTTCTCCTGCCCTCCCTTCAACCCCTCCATCCCTCCCTATTTACAAAGATTTTGTTTTCATTTTCTCATATTAATTCCATTCCCTTCTTTCCTTTCCTCTACCCCTCCCATTTCCCCTTCCCCTTTGCCCCCTTTTTCCCTATTTCACATTATCTATTATACCTTTTAGTCCTTATTTACACTTTCAGTTTCTTACACTAGAGAAACTATTCGGTATTTACACATGTGTGTCCTATTTATTTCACTTAAGAGTATGGCCTCAATGTGCATCCATTTAGCTATAAATGTCTCTAATTTCTCATTTTTTATGGCTGAGTAGTACTCCACCAAATTGTTGCTTTTTAATTGAGAAGTACATTCTTAGTCTGTAAGAGTAGTGTTGTATAGTAAAGTAGCAAGTTTTCTTTTAAGTAAACTCTTCCTGTCTGCCACTGATATTCAGTTGCATCTTTATCCTCCACTTGTACCAGTCCAGGTGTGCCTCTTTCATTAAATGGGTGTTTGAATGTCTACCCTGTTCAGAATAGGTTTTCATGAATTTACTAGGTCAGGTATACTTTAAGCTGCATCACAGAACCATCCTGTTCCACCAGCATCAAATTAGTAAGATTGTGGTTCTTACTCATGACGCCTTCCTTGGGCTTTTTTTGCCATGGCAAATGGCATATTCTCCCCAGTTGCTGCTGTATAAAAAAGGTACCAGGGCCAGGGATTTAGCCTAGTGGTTCTGCCGCCTGCCTCGCAAGTGCAAGGTCCCGAGTTTGTTCCCCGGCCCCCCCACCCCCCCAAAAAAGGTACCATTTCTGCCATGAAGGACCAAAGGAGTCTACCTCAACTTTTAAAATGGATTGTACCAGCCTATGATTGTACCTTATTTAATGAATTAATGATATTTATGTGTTTCCCAAATATCTCTATCCTAATACTTGTACTGTTGCTTACTTTTCTGATTATTATCATCGAATAACCATCTGAAAGATTTGCTGTTAAGGGGTATAAGCATGGCAGCTTTTAATATATATGGCCCCTAAAACGATGGCTTTTGATTCCCTATGTCCAACACCAGACATATTCATGTCTATCAATATATTATTTATAGTTTTTTGTATTTCAATTGCCTACATCTTTCCTAAGTATTTTCACTTTATTATTGATTTATAGGATCATTTTATGTATTAAAGATAGCAAACTTGTGTCATGGTTTATTGTAGACACAGTAATTTCCTGGTTATCTTTTAATGTTATGCATGGTATATTTTATTGTGAAGAAATTTTAAGTATTTACATAGTCTAATCTGTTTGTCTTCTCTCTGAAGTTCCCTTGGTTTTTGTCAAACAAAACTATTTTACCCACTTCAGAAACATAAAGTATGTTTTTATTTTTATTTTCATTTATTATACTTATACATTTTACATTTATATCTTCAATGTGTTTGAAATAGTTTGGCATATGGGAAAGGCAAGGCAATGGTTAATCAGTTACTTCAGTATTACTGAGTAATCCATAATCTGTCTAAAATCCCATTGTTGTCATACATTACATTCTCAGATGCACACACACATGTAAACACACTTGTTTTCCGAGTTATGGAAGCTGGGAAGTGCAAGATCAAGGTGCTGCTGAGAGTTTCAGTTCTTTTTTTGTTTTGTTTTGTTTTGTTTTTGTTTTTTATTTTTGTACCAGGGATTGGACTTGGGACCTTGCACTTGCAAGGCCAGGCTACAGAACCACTGAGCTAAATCTCTGGCCCAGTTCTTTTTTTTTTGTTTGCTTTTTATTGAAACAGAGTCTCACTCTGTAGTTCGGGCTGGCCTTGAACTCACTGTGTAGCCCAAGCTGGCCTCAAACTTGCCAAGATCCTCCTGCCTCAGCCTCCCAAGTGCTAGGATTACAGGCACGCACCACCACACCCAGTTCAAGATTGAATTCCTTTTGTTTTTTTGGTACCAGGGATTGAACTCAGGACCTTGCACTTGTGAGGCAGGCGGCAGAACCACTGAGCTAAATCCCCAGCCCCTCAAGATTCAATTCTTGATGATGACCTTTCTGGTTTGCACACAACTGCCATATTGCTGTACGCTCACATGATCTCTTCTTTGTGCTAACAAGAGAGAGAGCTCTAGCCTTTTCTTTTCATAAGGATACTAGTCCCATTATGAGGGCTCCATTCTCATGAACTCATCTAAACACAATTACCTCTTCAGCCCCTACAGAATTTTTTTGTGTGTGTGTGATACTCAGGATTGAACCAGGAGGCACTTTACCACCAGCTAATATTACAGGCATGCTTCATTGCACCCAGCTACAAAACAATTTTTAATGACATTTTGCATTGCCATTTGAGTGTCACTGAGTCATTGTAAAAGCCCATCAATAAAACTAGTGCAAGTTTATGATTATATTTCATTCTAGGCACACCTTCTCCTGAGATTCAACTTGGATGCAAACTCAGAGAGGACTCACAAGAACAAATTAATAAAAGTAAAATGATGCCCATTCTTAGTGAGGATTCAGGATTACAGGTATGTAGCATGTTGGCTGAATAAGTATAAAAAACCAGAAATGGTGTTTCTCAATGTGGCAAATTATTAATGATAATTCTTTTTGTCTAGTATTTTTTTTCTTGTCAGTTTTTTACCTCTGTTTCTTTGCTTTACCTTGATAAAGGCTAGTTGTTTTAAAATACCTCCCTCCCGAATGGCTTTCTTTTTCTGGTTGAGTTGTGAAAAGGAAAAGAACAGAGGTTAAAATATTATATGATAATTGTGGTTTTCATCCTCATTTTATGTCAGAAATCATCTTAAATTTGTGAAGAAGACAAAGCTGTGTGGTATAATTTGAGATGTGGGCCACTAAGTTGTGTGAGTATGTGTGAATATAGATACACACATGACTTAAAAATTTTTGTTTCTTTTAAATGCAAACACTATAGAGAAAAGTAAGATATGTTACATATGCCAGTTAGCACTTTAGCATAATTTTGTTAGCCATCCAGAGATATGTACTTAACAAAACTGAGAGCAGTTCCATAGAGTGACTCTGAGAGACTATTTAATATCATAGCCAGGAAGGTTTATCACATGGGTATCTCTGATAAAAAGGAAAAATTCACCAAGTTTAAAAAAACCTGATATTTATATTTGGCTTCTAATAGTATGTTTTGCAACTCTGTGAAGATAAATATAACATTTTCCCTCTGTCTTCAGTTACTGTATCAGTCAGTATAGGCCACCTATAGAGTCAGGTGTAGAGGAATGCAAGAAAGCCATCTGTGCACTGGAGAGCTGAAGGATCCAGTCAAAAGTGTAGGCCTGCAGCTCACTTCAGAGTCCTGTGTGAGTCTGTATCAGGAAGCCAAAGGATCTATGCTGAAAGGTAGAAGAGTCCAGGCTGAAAGCCCGCCTATAAGTGGACGTCCAAAGGAAGTGGCAAAGACAGGCGTTCCTCCAAAGAAATAGAAGCAAGACTTCTTTCCTTTTTTATTCCATCCAGGATACAAGCCTTTTGGTTAGTGCCACTCATACCCCAGGGTGGCTCTTCCCTTTTTAGTAAATCCATTCAGTCATGCTCTCAACTATGCTAAACCAATCAGCTAGGTGGTCTTTCTTTTTAATTCATGTTGACACCACAGTTAATTATCACAATAACTAAAATGAGAAACATTTTTCCATGTGTTTTATAAGCATTTGCCATGTAATTATTGTACCATGCTCTCAGTTGCCCCTCAGAAAATGGTTCTGAATACTGTCAAACTGCTTTGGGTTACTTTTTTAAAATAAGGATTCCCAGATCTGTACTTGGATAGAACCTAGGAATGTCCATTTTTTGAAATCCTCCCAAGTAATTTCTAGTGATGGGTCAGTGGGAACAATTGTCTGGATTATTGAAGAGTTAATGAATTTATCAAGACAACTTGAAGAGTAATGTGTCTTTCAGAAGTTTATCAGCAGATAGTAGATAAGTTATCTGGTGTGTTATGGCTAGTATCTAGATGTCCCCCCAATGCCTCATGGGCTCATAGGTGTGGCTTTTGGGAGGTGGCTAGATCCAGGTTATATATTTTAGTATATGTGCTGCCAAAATGAGCACAATCCAGGGTATATAAATTGGTTTAGCACAGTTCTGATCTGGGTGTGGCTAATGGAAGGCCCAACCTGGATGTGGGTGGCACCAATCAATAGGCTTGTAGATTGAATGGAATATAAGGGACCGAAAAGAAGGCAGACTGCTGCTTGCTGCTTCCTACCTAACCTATAGTAGATTGTTTCCCCCCTGTGATGCCCCTCTGACATGCCACCCTGCCTTGGAGTCAGCCAACTATGGACTAAAAACTCTACAAACTGTGAGCTAAAATAAACTTTTCTTCCTTTAACTTGTAGGTGTTGGGGGTATTTTGTCCCAGCAATGAAGAAATAACTAAGAATGGTGATTATGGGTTTGTTGTAAAATTAGAATGAGAAGTATAAATGAAGCACTTAAAGTTTGTCCCTCTTTTTTTTCACTTTCATTGGGAAACTAGATACATCATTTAACTTTCCCTTATACCCCTGTTTTCTTTTCTGGCTACAGTAAAAATTAGTGTAATAGTGTTTAAACATCTGTAACAAATTTTAGTATTATTTTCTAAATTGACATGTTGTTACTTTCACCCACGTTTTACTTTTATTTATGACAATAAACCCTTTGAAGTTTATATGAGAGATATTGATCTTATCAGCTATGGAAGTGGAAAACTCTGAGATGGCACTTTTTCAACAGTTATTTGAAGGAAAAGATACATCTTTATAACAAACCAGATTTCTAAATAAATTCAGTTACTAAGATTTGTAAGTAAATTCTGCCTAACTACTTAGATACCAAATGACATTTCAACCTCAAAATAAAGCATTTTTAGAAATAATGTGCCATTTTAAGTAAGGATAAATAAGAAGAAATTGGGGATCTTTGGCTTGATGTATACTATGCTAATGTCTTAAAATTCAGGAAAATGAATTTCATATTCATTATTTTATTTTGGGGATCTTGCAATACCTTTTCTAGTTTTTTTTACATGTGCTATATATAGCAAACAGTTTTAAAATTTTATGTGGATAAATTTAATTTTCTTTGCAGAGTTTAATGATATGTCTGGACAGATAATTGGAAACATTGAATCTATCAAAATAGTGTATGTGATGGTTAATTTTTTGTGTCAACTTGGCTCAGCTATGGGATATCCAGATAATGTTTATACAGATAAACATTCTATAAGGATGTTTTGGATGAGATTAACATTTAAATCAGTGGTTTTGAGTAAAACAGATTGCCCTCCATCTTGTGGATGGGCTTCATCCAATGTGTTGAAGGCCTGAATTGAACAAAAAGACTTGCTTCTTCCAGGGAGAGAGAATTTTTTTGAAAACTGCCTTTATACCTCATCTGAATCATCAGCTCTTCTGGGTATTTTTGAATGCTGGTCTTCAAGCTTCATCTATCATCAGCTATTCTAGTTCTGTCTGTCAACCTTGAGATTGTAATGCACCTTTGGCTCTGTGGATCTCGAACCTAACAGCTTACATGGCAGATTTGGGCTTAGAATCCATAATTGCAAGAGCCATTGCCTTATAATAAATCTCTTTTTTTGGGCCAGAGGTTTAGCTCAGTGATGCCGGTACCTGCCCGGCAAGCGCAAGGTCCTGAGTTCTATCCCCAGTTCTGCAAAAAAAAACAAAAACAAAAAAAGAAACAAAAACTTTTTCTGTATATACATATCCTGTTGGTTTTGTTTCTGTGGAGAACCCTTAATAAAAGTAGATATTTCTGGTCCTATAATCAAAGATTATCTAAAAGATAATTGTTTGGCAGGGAATAATGATTATTCAGTCCTGCAGTAATTACGAGCAGGCCATTTCTTCCACCTTATACTCTCTGAAACTCTGAAATACAGGACTTTTTTTTACCTGAGAGATGTGAATCCAGGTTGAATTCTTTCTCTTTCTGGAGCCTCTTTTATTCACCCTTATTAGTTGTGAGGTTGGAATCACTTACAATAAACATTAAAGGAAACATGAAAAGGATAATCAGCAACCACAGACTTGTTTGATTAGTGTGTAATGGAAGAAGGATCAAGGTTAGAGAGGCCAGAGTTTGTGAAGAGCTCACATGTATATGCATAGCATATATCTTAACATACCTACTGGTATGAGTATCTTTATTTAGTTGTACTATCATGGCTAACTTGATGTCCTACATCAGTTCAAAATGTTTACCTTTAATGGTTATTTTGACTTTGGGGAAGAGCCAGAAGTTGCAAAGTGGCAGATCCAGTGAAGAAGGTGTGTAAAGACACACTGTAATGTTTCTGCAAGCCTCCCTTTCTGTTGAATGGCACTTGGCAGCAGCATTCACTTTATTTTGAGCACACCTTGTAAAGATATTTATCAGAGACCCCTTCAAAGGATCCTGATCTCCTGCTCAGTGCTATGACACAAGGCAAGAAGAAAGACTGATGCCGGGGATTTAGCTCAGTGGTTTTGCCGCCTGCTGCGCAAGCGCAAGGACCCGAGTTCGATCCCCGGTACAAAAAAAAAAGAAGAAAGACTCAGAGACAAAATTAAAATGAAACAGGGAACTGGGATGGTCAGAGCAGAGGAAGCAGCAAAGACACCGAACAGCCAGAACCACTGATATTTATTGGTTGTACAGTCATTCATTAAACTGGTGAGGGGGCTATATGTGGTTGCTAGGGATAAGTTGCTGACCCAGGCAAGGCTTGTAAAAGTATGAACAAAGCATTCTTGCATTGGGAACAGAACAAGTATAGATTGTGGTTAACAATTAACCTGTCTTTTCAGTTAAAGAAAGTTTCAATTCTGGGAATGGAGTTTGGGTATGAGTCATTCTGACCTAAGCTTTTATGTTATCCCATATCAGAGCCCCACAGCTTTATGGACCATATCTCTGACCTCTGCTGTGTCGACTGGTGAGAGGATAATTTCTAAAACGCATGCCACCACAATGCCCCTATAAGTCACATAGGCTTCAGTCAAACTTACTTTTTAAAACAAGCCAATTGTGAAGTTAACTCTTTACAGCCTGCACTGCTTAGAGCCTGCTTTGGGCATAATCAACAGGGTGGTCTCCCACAGATACTTATGAAAGAGGACTTCCAGAACTGCTTCAGAAAGTGGCAAGAACAGTGGAATAAGAGTGTTCAAAGTGAGAGGGTATATTTTGAGGGGAATTAATGGCATTGTGTCTTTTACTGAAATAATTTTTTAATCTAAACATGGCATTTTTTTTTTGGTACCGGGGATCGAACTCAGGACCTTGTGCTTGCAAGGCAGGCAGTGGAACCACTGAGCTAAATCCCCAGCCCACACACCATATTTTTGATAGCCCTTGTAAACCCTGTTGGATTAATCTTTGGGAATTTCTAGGTTTATTTGATAAATTTCTTATCTGAGGGTCTCTTAAGTTTTGTGACATCTGAGAGTAACAGGAGTAACAGTTCTCTTAAAAGTGATGAAAGCTAGTATGCTTTGAAATTTTAAAATGGAAGCATTGGGCTGGGGATTTAGCTCAGTGGTTCCGGCGCCTGCCCTGCAAGTGCAGGGACCTGAGTTTGATCCCTGGTACCAAAAAAAATAAATAAATAAAATGGAAGCATTTTATCAGTGAATTTCACATTTTTTGGAAAGAGACACAACAACTTGAGATTTTTTGACATGATTTGAGAACTTGGCAAAATTAGTTTATCATTTAATGCTATTACCATTAAGGTGGTATAATATCTGATTCTTAGAAAAAGTATTAAACTTGACAAGAATGGCTCCTCAGAATTATGCGTCACGAAGAGAGGAAAAACTAAGAATAAAAAAGGAACACTTAACTTTCTCTTCACTTGAGTCACAACTTTTATAGAAAAGAGTTAAGACAAAGACCTAAGAGGCAAAAATAGACAACTCTTAGAAGAAAACGTAGGGGATAAGTATCATGACATTGAACTTGACAATGATTTATTTCTTCAATATAATACCACAAGCAGAGACAATAATAAAAGAATAGGTAAGTGAGACTTAATGAAAATGAAAAACTTTTGTGCACCAGAGGATTCTATCAAGAGAACAAAAATGTTTCCATGGTATAGGAGTAAATGTGTGCAAATATACCTGGTAAGAGATTGATATCCAGAAAAAGCATTTTTATAATGCACCACAAAAAACAAATCAACCAAAAAATGGACAAAGGAGTTCAATAGGTATTTAACCAGAGAAACCATACAAATGGCTAATAAACACAGGAAAAGATGCTCACCATATTTAATCATTAGGGAAATGTAAACAAAACCACATTAAGATAACATTTTGCACTTTTTTTTTTTAAGGATGACTTATTTAAAAAGGAACAGAACATAAGTGTTGGCAAGTGGGAGAAACACACTCAACCAATTTTAAAGAAGGTACTTGGAGACAAAGAATGCAGTGAAAGTGGAACTTTAATCTCAGTCTTGCAAGGCTGGATGTTCACCATACTGCAGGCACACTGGAAGGGTTACAAGCTTTTCATTCATAAAGCGCAGGTCTCTCCCCTAGTTCCTCATTAGCTGAGTACTAGTAGTGAACAATCTTCCCAGACATCTTCTAAATCCCCTTGTCTTCCCTTATCCCCTCCCCACCTTTACCTCCTTTGGCTAATGGTTGTATTTTTCAACAGAGGAGACTTTCTTGTTCGTTTTATCCCTACCCCATTATTCTCTCAAGGTGCGTGAACTATGCAGTTTTTCCCATCTGCAGTCTGATAGCTACTAATCATTTTTCACTCAGAGCTAACTATGTTGCCTTGAAAATGAACCAACCACATTAAGTTTCTTACAGCAAGGATGTGGTGAAATTGGAACCTTTGTGTTTCAGAGGTAGGAATGTAAAATGGTACAGCCATTGTGGAAAATATTATGACAGATTCCTCAAAATATTAAAATAGAATTACCATGTGACCCAGCAGCTCCATTTCTCAGTATATACTTGAAAGAAGTGAAAGCGTGGGCTTAAAGAAGTATCTCTACACTCATACACACAGCTGTATTATTCACAACAGCAATAAAAAGGGCAGAAATAATGCAAGGGTCCCTCAATGATGAATGGATAAATAAAAATGTAGTATATACCTGCAAAGGAAAATTATTTGGCCTATAAAAAAAAAGAAATACTAATACATGCTACATATGGTTGAATCTTGAAAATGCAGTTTTACCTCAGTTTGTGAACTTAATTTGTTCCACAATTCTGGAAAAGATGACCATGTTCATGTTCATGCAGGAAAGATGGCTGTGGTAATGTTCATCACTTGATGCAAAGTTCACAAACAAAATTTTGCCAAAAGCCTCTGTTTGCAAATCAAATTGTTTGCAAACAAAAGCATTCACAAACTGAGGTACCACTGTATGTACTATATGAAATAAGCTAATCAAAAAATGATGAAATAGCATATGATCATCTTACATCTATTTTGCTAAGGTTAGATTGCTCTTTGTTAACCAAATCAAAGGAGGCTATTTATTTTGGTAAAAAGGAGAAAGAATTTATTCAAAGCTACCTGCAAGGAGATGGAGGGGCCTCATTACCCAAATCACCATATCAAGGTATACAGGTGTGTTAAAGTCTTTTATAGCAAGGAACAGTAGAAGAGATGAGGAACAATCGGGGAGGGAAAACAGTGAAGCAGTAGATTTGTCCAAGCTTATTTCATCCCTTCCTGGACCCAGGTCTCCTCTTTTCCCTGTGGAAATGAAACTGGACTTTTGATACCACATGCTGGATCCAACAGATAGGCTCTTGTGTATGACAAGCAAGAAATTGCAAGTGTAGACCCAATGGTAAAAAGCAGCTACATTTGTTGAAAATAATGGGAAGATTTCCTCAGGGCAGGTCCATGCCAGCAGAAACAAAAAGGATGGCATGTACAGAAAAGTGGTATAAAGGGCAATAGAATAAAAAGCACAGCACACAGATAAGTCAGGCTTTTGGATTTTAAAAGATGTGGGTTCCTCTCATTGGGTGTCTAGGAAAGATTGACAGGAATGATTGCTGAGGTGTTTAGTCATCTCAGGGGCTTTCAGCCAGCATGCATGTCCCAGAGTTCACAGAATCTAATCAAATTACTTGTATGAGATGCAGTCTATATTAACTTTTAATAAGGTTAGAGTGGGGAAGGTTACTGAAGGTTAGGCGAGGAGACCTAACACATACGTCCCTGGAGCCTCAGAGATTTCCCCGTCTTTGTTATTGTACAGTAAGTCCCTGACTTATGAACATTCAGGTTGTGAACTTTCACAGATACGAATGGACCCTGCATTACAAACATTCATAGATGCAAAGAAATTTAGGAACCAGCTCATGTGTCTGCCAGACATTGTCACAGTTGTGCTGCCATGTGCTTACTTATATAGTGTAATGGTGTACAGTAATACAGTGCTCAGTTAGGGCCCAGGATGAAGATGAAGCAAGGAAGAGTATTGGTAATGTGGAGGGGACTGCTAGGAAGCACAAAGCAATGTACATTATATGTTTGTGTCAAAGATGTATAAGATTCACTTTGTTGGACTTAGGAACGAATCTGACTTACAAATGTCCCAGAATGGAACTCATTCATAAATTGGGGACTTAATGTATTTTCTGCTTCCTTCAAAACAATAGAAGGAAGATTGGCTCTGGGCTGTTGCCCAAATTCAGGTGGTAGAAGGGAGTGACCTTCCAGCCCCCATTGTGCTACCTGTACTACCAGATGTTGTCAGCACCAGCATATTCTGTCCATTCATCTGGGCTGAGGAGAAGTAGGCGGGACAGTTTATACCCGGTTTAAGGAAGTTTGAAGAAGCCACTTATCTCTAAAGGAAAAAAAAAAAATCTAGCTTTTAAAGTTTAATTTTTCCGTGCTGGTTACACTCATATAATATTCCTAGAGACACAACATAGAATGGTGGTTGCCATGGGTGAAAGGTAAAGGTAATGGGTATTTTATGTTTAACCTGTATTGAATTTCAGTTTGGGAAGATGGAAAAGTCCTGGAGATGAATCATGGTAATGGTTTCACAACAATGTGAATTAATGCAGTAAAACTGTACATTTAAAAATAGGTAAGATGCTAAGTTTTATGTATATTTTACTGTAACAAAGAAGCTAAGTGACACATGAATAATCTTAAATGTTAATTTTTTAGCCTGTTGCATTAGATTAGCATGTATTGATTGGAAAAACAAAAAACTGTTTTTCTTCCTAGCAACTTCAAGATGAAACAGCACAAAATCAAGGTGTGTTGCAGTAAGTACACACATTTTTGGCTTCATTACATTGTGAGGTTTTTTTGGTTATAAAATTATTGTCTATTTTTGAATACCTTTAGTAGCATAAGTATGTGTTGTTTTACAGATGTTCTAGATTAGTTTCATTCATAAGAAAGATTGAATCAGTAAGTTGATTCTGTCTATTAATATTACTGAAAGAACAAACTTAGAGTACAGCATAAAGGAAGAATTTGTAGAGTTTACTGAAATTAGACTTAGTGCACCCACTATATTTCAGGAGATTTTATTCTTTCAGTTCTTTTAAAAACAATGTTTTTCAAAGTATAGTCTAACATTCCCTGAGATTCTTTTAGAGCGCCTATTAGGTCTAAACTATTTTCATAATGATAGTAACATTATTTGTCTCTTTTCATGGTGTTTACCTTTGCACTGACGGTATAAAGCAATGATAGGTAAATTGCTGGAGCTTTACTAGGAATCAGGGCTGTGGCACCAAACAATACTAGCAGTCATCTTCTTCTTCACATGTACTGGCAGTTTAAAAAAAAAACAGTTTCACTTAAGGATGTGTTTGATAAAGCAGAAAAATTACTGGTTTTTCAATCATTCACTTTTGAGTATGTATCTTTTTAATATTGGGTGTGATGAAAAGGTCCTTTTGTTGTTAGCTTGAGGCCTAGCCTCCAGCTGATGTATCTCTGGCCACAGTTGTAGTGTGTTTTTACCTTTTGTCCTGACTTTCTCAGGGCTCAGCCCTGTCTGACTGCCTATTATATTTCTGTCTAACTTAGCTGTCTATAACATTTCCCCCTCTGAAGAGGTAATCCTGAACTGCTGTGAGGGGGCTACTTACGGCAGAAGGGGGTCATTGTTGTGATCAGTAGTCAAAGATACTTTCCAGAGGGTCTATCTAAAGGCCCTTGATAGACATCAGTTGTTCTTGTCATGGGTGGACCTATAGCTTTAAGTCTGGAGGAGACAAAACCAAAGAAACAGTTAAGTATACATGGAACAAACAATAAGATCAACAAGGCTATTATGAATACAACCAACAACTAGCTCTCCTATTTTCACCAGGAGAGCCAGTAATAGCCTCTCACAAAGAAGATAAGGAGAAGGCCCAGGGGATTTTAGAATCTGACATGGCCTTAACTTGTCCTTTCCTAAAAAGCCAAAGAGTTATTAGCAGAAGTATCAGGAGTGTATACACAACCTTTAGCTTTTAGAGTTGCATAAGTATCCCCTTGTGCTGCTGTCAGGATGTCTAATGCCATCCAATTTTGAAGGGTGTCTTATCAGATTAACTTCACTTCTTTATTTAGGAGAGAGAAACCAGTTGAGGTGTTGTTTAAGGCCCATTGAGTATAGTTAGTCAAGGCCTTGATATATTGTATGACATCTTTTAATCTTAGGGAAGGGACAAAGATAGAAGCCAAATGATTATACCAGTGAAACATACTTTTAGACCATTGATATAGACAGGGTAATTTTGCAGGTTTGTTGATATTTTAATACTCCTGCCTTGTAACCATGTATGTCTCTCTAGTTTTGGTTGTAAGAAGGTAGAGAATTTAGTGTTTTTGTTTTGGGGGGTTTTTTTGGTACCAGGGACCAAACTCGGGACCTTGCACTTGTGAGGCAGGTGGCAGAACCACTGAGCTAAATCCCTGGCCCCTGAAGGACAATTTTAAATGAAGAACTTAAAGGCTCTTATTGAGGTTTTACAGCTTTTATCATAGTTTTTTCTCATTGAACCATAACAGTGGTCAGCTACCAGTGTGGCTGGAAACTGCCAGAAGGGATCAGTGATTGGAGCCCCTTTTTATATCTAGCTTTTAGTACTGTGATATTGTTTTTATATCTCTTTTGGTTATACTTTTGTCCTGGGTGTTTAAGACCAAGTTAAAATGAGACCTGTGTTAATTAAAATTAACCTTTTGCTATCTATCAAGGTCAGGTAGGTCTCCTCAGGCATTACTTTTGGAACTATGTACAGAGCTGCTCAGCTCCTCTGACACAGTCATCTCAGGGGGATCATAACATGCATGTGTGTTCCAGAGTACACTCTGATTCAGTTACATACATGAGATGCAGTCCATATTTATGAACCTTTGACAAATGGGAAAAACTTACTGAATGTCAGGCCAAGAGCTCCAACAGGCTTGTCCTCTACTGGAGCCTCAGAGATTTCCTGGGTCTTGGTTATTTTCTTTTCTACTTCTCTCAGAACAATGGAAGGAGGATTGGGCCTGGGGTATTGCCCAAATTCAAGTGAGTGGAGGGGAGTAGCCTCCCACCCAGTTGTGCTACTTGTACTAATTGGATTTCATAACTTGTTTAATCATTCATCTCTAATTGGACATTTAGATTATGTGCAGTCTTGTCTACTATAAGTAACTATTTAAAATGATTTGGATAAAGCTTTGCTGTATTTTTAGACATATCTTAAATTGAAATTCAAGAAAAAAATTCTTTCATTGATTTATACTGTGCCTTTATTTTGTTTTCGATCAGCTTGTGGTTTTCAAAGAATCACATATTAGGAAATGGTCAATGTTGTTTCCTGTTTGCCTCAGAGGCAGATCATTCTGTGTGAGTGATTTCATTTCAATTTGCAAAATTAGTTACATTGATCACTTTTCGTTTTGGACAGAAGAGAATGCTCAGTTTATTATTCTTGCTTAGGATTTAGGTGTCTAAGACTAGTGCACAAAAAGCTATTTAAAAAAAAATAACGTGTCTTAATTGCATTAATGCAGTAAATTAGGCTGAAAAAATAGCTGATTGTCTTTCTTCAATAAACTTATAATTATCTAAAGATGGTGGATGAAAATTACAGATTAGGCATGACCCTTGTTTTGCTTTCAGCCTCTTTCTTTTTGTACTTGTGCCTTTTCTTTGCCTGCTGTGAAATACAATAATGATAAATTAATATCAGAAATTTCTTATTAGTGACTTTCACTTATATCTAAAACTATAATACTTATATACAAAACTGTGACAGCAAGCTGTGTTTGAAGATATGGATAGCCAATCTACATTATTCAGTACTATTTTCTCTTTGATCCCACTACTGCCTGACAGTCATTTTTAAATTTGCTTTGAGACATACAGCTTAGCTTGTTTCTACACTTGAATTCACCCATTCGTTTTTCAGCTATGTCTTTCATTTTTGCAGTCATTTGAATCATAATTGTTAACAAGTTGATACTAATCAACGTTCGAATGGTGTAGCCAAAAAAAAGGTCTGATTTGAAAAGGTCTTAAATTAAAAAGTGGTTTAAATTGTACTTCAATGAGAAGTAGTTTTTTTTCTTTCTATTTAACAGTTTATTTTTATTAATTATTTTGATTTTGTAGGACTAGAAAAAATTTTGCAATGTCCCCTGTGTCATTTCCTCAGGCTGGATTTTCATTGAACCAGCAAAACATTGGAGGTAAGTGTGTACAGTAGAGGTGTTTTAGGAGATGAAATAGGACCTCTAAATGATACAAGGGAAATATTATAACCCTCAACCTGTTTGATGTCTGATACGCTGAGTTCATGTTCTCTAAAATCGAAGAATGAATTCTGGAATAACAGAGTTAAGAATAGGAAAATATTTATTGAGAGGATAGCTCCTGAGGCAGGAAGGGTCCTGATTGGATAGCCAGGGACCCCACTTTATAGGGAAGTTTTATAGATCAAAACCCATGTGGGTACAATGTGGATTATAGCTATGATCAACCAATAACGTTACAAGTATAGCCACTTAGGTAATAGTGATCCAAAGGGAAAGCAAGTCATGTAGCAAGAATACATGGAAAGAACAAAGAACTTCTCAGGTAGGTGATGGATGTGGGGGTCTTGGTCACCCACTGAGGCAACTGATGCCTATCTAGACTTTACCAGACCAGATGTTATCACTTATCTCTTTCCTTGAGGAAGTATGTAGGCCTGGTCCTGTTGTTGTCATCTTGAGACCTAGTCTCCAGTTGATGTGTCTCTGGCCAGTTGTAGTCAGGACCTTTTGTCCTGACTTTCTGAGTGCTCAGCCTTGTCTGACTGCTTATAATATTTTACCTAACTTGGCTGTCTATAATAGAGATATGGAAAGAAAATTATTTTTGCATAAAAATAGATTAGCCAGACGTGAATTGGTTGTTTATTTATTAAGTAGGCTGGGCTACTGTACATTTAAAATATGAAATCAGTGTTGCTTTTGACCTTGGATTGTGCCACATGGAGTTACCCACGGGAGAAATAGGTCATTTGCAATCAGTACCTGCTACTCCAGATGTCTACTCTTTTCATTTGTGACTTAGGGGCTAAAATTTGAAAAAAAAAAAGTTTGTTTTCTCTGTTTATAACATTAATATGACTGTCATGCTCCTCTTGACTGGTAGTCACACAAGTCGTTTTTACCTTTGTTTTAGTTTTATTAGAGAAGCACTGCCTTTTCTTTGAGGTGTCCTGTAGTGGCTCCTGCAGAATGAGTTTTTGTGTCACAGTGTAGTAAATATTCATAGTTGTCAATGAAGCCTTGTATTATAAGGAAAGGGTGCCAGGACATGTTAAAAAATTGACAAACATAAAATTTTAAAAGCTCTACTTTCTGTTACCACTTTTGTCCATCATCATTCTTACACGCACTCCTAATTAGGCTTTTGGTGTGAGACAAGTTCTTGCTATGTAGTTTAGACTGGCCTTAAACTCACAGCAGTCTTCCTGCTGTAGCCTTCTGAGTACTTGGATGACAGGCATGTGCCACCACATCTGGCTTTTTTATTTTTTAACAAGTACTTATTGCACATACTATGAACCAGGTGTATGAGTACTATGGTTGTTTGAGTTCTAAATAAACCAGGGATTCTTAAAGGATAGCTGATCTGTCTTGTAGAATCAAGATATCAGGATAAGTCTGAACCATCATATCATTTCTGAAAAGCAAGAACTTTTTCAATGTCTAGGGCACGGCTGACAGAATAAAGTGCTAGCTCATTGTTATTTTTACTGGCCAAGCTACGACACATTAAGTAGAGGGAAAAATAAGTTTTAGTTCATGGAAATAGTTGTGAAAGGATCATGTGTTCATGATAATACTCAACAAATGTTAAAAATATACAAAAGTTTATCTTGATAAAAAAATAAAATGACTTTTAAAAGAGGGAACCTGTTAATATATGTGCATTTTATTTTTTTCAATATATGCCTGTATTTAAAGCATGGGATATTTTTGTTTATCATTGTATAAATATAGATAAGAAAACAGAGAACTATAAGTAAGTCAAGTAGTCTTCGAAGAAGTAAGAATTGTACTAAGGAAGGGAAGGACTACCTCTGCAATACCAGCAGTGACACATAAAAAATATGTAAGCAGTGAGGTCTGATATGTCCCAAGATTACAAATACATGGTATGATATTGGGTACTCTGGCCTTGAGCCCTGATCTCCTGCCTAGGTGATATGATGCAAAATGAAAGAAAGACACTGAAACAAGACTTAAACAGAAAATGAGGATCTGGGACAGTCTGAGCTGAGCTGGCAGCAAAGACACCAGGCACCCAAAGAGCTCCAGAATTTATTGATTACACAAGCATGGGAAGAAATAGGGCAGAGTATATGTGAGACATCTGGTGATAGAGTGTGAGGCATCTGGCAGTAGGATGCCAACACAGGCAAGGCTCGTAAAAGGGGGACAAGGCATTCCTGCAGAAGGAACAAAGGGAGACCAAAACGAGGTCATAATTAACCAGTAACCCATCAGGACAGTGGGGGGAGGCCATAATTCAGGGAAAGGTATTTAGTTGTAGCCACACTGTCCTCAGCTGTGATGTTATCTCAGTCAGGGCCCTGCAGCTGCACAGACCAGGACTTAAGTCTCTGGTACAGCTGTTGGTGAGGGGGAGGATGGCTGTGCTCACCCACGTGCCATCCAGCATGCCCACACAAGTCAAGTAGGCTTTGGTCAGACTCCTAATATAATACAGCCTAATCATGGGGAAGCAAGAAGCCTGTGCCACTTAGAGCCTGCCAATTTGGACAGAAGGATCAGCTACAGTGTCCATTTATGGAAAATTTTCTGTAGTGGCTAGATCTTGTAGCTCTTAAGAAATAAAAGCCTTAAATGGCTCTGCTTATCATGATAAAATACTAGTGGGAGGTATAAGTTTACAATAATACTAAGAGAACAGATCAATGTATGATAAACGAGACAAAAGTTTTTCTAACAGTGGTCAAGTAAAAGTTAAAGATGGAATTCTGGGGCAAAATATTAGGTTATAAAAATAACTGAAGTTTTGTTTGTTTTTTTTTTTTGGTACCGGGGATATGAACTCGGTTCTTGTGCTTGCGCAGCAGGTGGTGAAACCACTGAGCTAAATCCCCGGCCCAAAAATAACTGAAGCTTAAGGTGTTAACTTTTCAAGATAGCTAGATAATTGGCTACTCAGGTCTTAATCCTCTTGGGAGAAACAGTCCCATGTACCACTGAAACATCAGATAGTTAATAACCCACCTCCTATAACCTCAGTTGGTCAAAAAAATTACTTGTTTTACGTGGTGATATAATTTCTGTAATCCTGGGAAGGTATCAAAATAAGTAGTGGTTTATTTTTTATGGAAAAATATATATTTAGAATTAGCCGGCTAGACTCAGTTAAATGGTGCTAGTTTTGTTGAAACATCCAGAATATCATGATCTGAAGCCAGTTGGAAATGTGCCATCGTTTTTTTTTTTTTTTTTTGGTACCAGGGATCAAACTTGGGACCTTGTGCTTGCAAGGCAGGTGGTGGAACTACTGAGCGAAATCCCTGGCATGCCATCTTCTCTTAAACAGGCCTGATCAGAGTATTAACCTTGGCCATGTCAATATCATAGAGCTCCTTCACAACCTGTTTGATCTGAGGCTTGTTGTATATTGTTTTCTTCTACCTTCTTCATGGCAGAGTCAGTAGTTGGGAAACTTGGTGGTAGTATAGTGGTTAAATTTGTTTCCCCAGGAGGTGCTTTCCTGAGTATATTTGGGCTTCCTCTCTTGCTGTAGTGTCTGTATTGCTTGGAATGTGGGTGGATCATTATTTGTTTCTTCCCTTTGACTGCTTTTCAGCACTGTATTCTTGACCTTCAAAGCTTTGGCTTTGGGAGGGGCAAGAGCTTCCTTCTTCATTTCTGGTGATCTCTTGGTGAAAAAGAGCCAAAATAAGTATAACTTCACTCTTTAGAAGTTATAGGAACAAGAATAAAAGTAATTAAGAATGAATCTCAATGTGCTATTATGAATTGATTTATTAGCAGTAATAAATTTTACAACTATTAGGGTGTGCTTTTACAGAATTTTTATTGGTACATATTTACAGTGCATAATGATTACATTCATTGTGGGGAGCTGGTACATGTACACAACACATCTGAATTCTTTTTACCTTCCCATCTCCTCCCCTTCCTCCATCTCTTGGTCCCCTTCCCATTTATAAAAGATCTATCTTCCTTTTTTCATTATTTGTCTTTTATTTTGCTCTTTAGATTAGGTATACTTTGAGTTTCTTATATAAGAAAAACCATGTGAAATTAAGCTTGTCTGATTTTTTTACTAAGCATTATTGTCTCATGGTGCATCCATTTTCCTTCCAGTGTCTTAAATTTCTTTCTTTATGTTAGAGTACCATTGTGTTGTGTACAAATACATTTTCTTTATCTATTCATTTGCTAATGGAGATAAAGGCAGCTTACAGGATTTAGCTATTATAAGTTGTACTCCTATAAACATGGATATGCATTAGTATAATGTCTGTGACTCTTTCAGGAAGATACGTAGTAGAGGAATAGCCAGGTTGAATGGAATTTCTATTTTTAGTTTTTTGAGGAATATCTATACTGATTTCCATAGTGGTTGTACTAGTTTACATTCAATTCCTACCAACAATCTACATGGCTTCTTTTTTTCCCCATAGCTTTTTCGGCATTTGTTATTTGTTTTTCTTAACCACATAACAAGAGAAAAGCAATAGTTATTACACTGTGTATTGTTATCTTCAAAGTAGTTGCTTAATACAAGACATAAACCAAAAAGATTCTTCACAAAAAAGAAACATAATAACACAAACTTTCTTTTCAATGAACTAAAATAAACAATTAGTATAAGTGAAACAAATTAGGATATATACTGAAATATTTTTAAAACAATGGAGTATGTAACTTGGGGAAGTATTCTAACTTTCCTCTATTTTCTATTTCTCTCCTATTTTTCTCTCTCTCTCTCTCTCTGTATGTGTGTGTGTGTGTGTGTGTGTGTGTGTATGTGTGTGTGTATGTGTATATATGATTCCTCATATAAGAAAACCAGGTGATATTTGAGCTTGTGTGGATTATTTTACTTAACATGTTCTCAAGTTGCATCCATTTAACTATAAATGTCCAAAGTTTATCTTTATGGCTGCAAAGTACTCCATTATGTAAAATAACACATTTTCCTTATCCTTTCATCTGTTGATGACCATATTCCCTATTTCTAAGATCTTGCTCTTATAAATTGTGCTGCTATAAACATGGATATGCATATATCCCTGTAATATGCTGATTTTAACTCTTTGGGGAAGATACCCAGGAGGTGGATAGCTAGGTCAAATGGAATTTCTATTTTTAGGGTTTTTTTTTTCTTTTTTCTTTTTTTGGTGCTGGGGATCGAATTCAGGACCTTTCACTTGGGAGGCAGGTGCTGGAACCACTGAGCTAAATCCCCAGCCCTACTTTTAGTTTTTTGAGGAATCTCCACATTAATTTCCCACCAAAGAGTTCCTTTTCCCCATATCCTCACCACCATTTGTTATTATTAGTTTTTTGAGGATAGCCATTCTTTCTGGGGTAAGCTGAGATACCCCCTTTCTGGACTATCTCAGTGTAGTTTCAATTTGCTTTTCCCTGGTGGCCAGTGATGTTGAACTTTTTTAATGTATTTATTGACCATTTGTACTTCTGAGGAGTGTCTATTCATTTTGGTTGCCCATTTTTCGATTGAGTATTTTATTTAGGGGAGTCTAATTTTTTTGTTTTTTATATATTCCTTATACTAGTTCTCTGTGGCAAAGCTGGCAAAATTTTTTTCCTTTCTGCAGGTTGTCTCTACTCTCTTGATTGTTTCCTTTTTTTTCTTAATTTGGCATGATCCCATTTGTAGATTCTTGGTATTATTTCATGTGCCATTGGAGTTCTGTTCAGAAAGTCCATGCAAAACTATCTTTCATAATTTATGGCCATACTTACAAAGCTGATACATAGATTTAATGTAATCCTAATTCAAACACAAACAGCATTCCTCACGAACTAGAAAAAACAATCCTAGAACTCATGTAGAACCAGAAGAGACCCCAGAATAGCAAAAACATTCCTGGGCAAGAAGAGGCATTATAATCCGGGATATATCAAGTCTTACTACATGTCTATTGTGATTTCAAAAAAAAAAAAAAAAAAACCCCAGCATGTGCTGGCGCAAAAACAGACATGTTAATCAGTGGAACAGAATTGAAGATGCAGAAACAACCCAGGGACATTCAGCCATCTGTTCTTTGACAGAAAGGCCAAAAACATGTTGGAGGAAAAGATAGCCTCTTTAACAAATGGTATTGGGAAAACTGGCTACCCATGTGCAGAAAATTTTTATCAATTATGAAAGATACTTTTGCAAGATGTATTAATATGGGTTGGGAGGTAAGGTTTGTTTTGTTTTGTTGCCAATCTCTTCTAGCCTTTACAGTTTGTGTTGAGATGTCTGTTGTAATTTTAAATGATTGGCCTATTAAGTGATTTGTTGCTTTTTTCTAAAACTTTTAAGATTCTGACCTTGCATTGAACTTTAGGGATTTTGACTACAATGCATGGTTGAAAAATCCTTTTCCAATTGTGGCTATTTGGAGTATATGCCACAGTTTCCTATATTTTAAATTTTTCCTCATTTGGAAAGTTTTCTGTTATGATTTCTGTACATAGATTTTTCATGCTGTCTTCCGATTTTTCACTAATTTCAATTTTAACTTAGTCTTCCTTCCATCATCTGGCAGCTATTGGATCTATTTCCCATGATCTCTTGTTATTTTTAAGTTATGCCTAAATATATTGTCACTTGCATCATCCCTATACTTTTATTGCTATTAATTGGCTTTTAACATATGCCAACATATGGTTTGTCTTTTGTGTCATTAACATTACTGTAGTTCTTCTCCAGGGAATTGGATGCTGGGCCAGTTACACTGTACCCTCCCTCTGTTCTCAGATTGGTCACTTTTGCTGCCCATACTCTCAATAGAATTTTTTATCTCCTGGATTTCTGTTTGGTACCTTTTCATGGACTCTCATTCTTCACTAAACTAGTCATTTATGTTTTGTATTGTTTTGATTAGCTCAACTAGCTTTTTATTAGTGTCTTTTATATCTCACTGATTATTTTATTTAGTACATTGTCTGCTTAGTTATATCAATTTTGAGCTCCCTGAGCACCTTATCAACCTGTTTTTTTGTTGATTTCTTCCTTTATCACTTTATATAATTCATTTGTTTGGCTTTTGATTTTTCTTCCAGTAGATGGCCCATGGATTAGCTTTGGGGGAATTTGGAATTTTTGGAAGCATCTTGTTGCCTTGTCTTCTCGTGGTTCTATTATAGTTTTTGTTTTTTTGTGTTTTAGGGGCTTGGGGGTTGATAAAAATTGGAAAGACTTTTTGGTAGTATGGAGATCTCTTTAGTCAGTGTTTGCTCTCCATTGTTGTACTCTGGATGTTTCTAACTAGAGGCCTTTGCCTCTGTCCTATGATGTGGCCACTTCTGTTAATTTGCAGAGGGTGGGTATAGTTTAATTGGCCCAGTGCCCTGTTCTCTGTAAACAAACTGCAGTAATGTTGATGACACAAAGACAAATCATGTCTTTGCACACAGTGAAAAACAATAACAACTATGCCACCACTGGAAATAACAAAGAAATCAGCAGCAATAATAGACTCAAATACAAACTGTAATCAATGTTTAAATTTTAAAGTAACAGTTTTCAAGTTTTTGTGATTAGATATGGAAGTTTAATAAAACAAATAGAACTTTTATTTATTTTATCAAGCCATTAAATATAAACACAAATGGTAATTGATGTTCCTCTCCAAATTCAAAAGATTTTAAGCTGTCAAATAAATATCAGTATAAAATTATATTTCAGATTATACCAAATTCCAAACTTGGAAAAAACCTATTTAACATCTTTCATAAGATACAGTTATTAATAAACCAAAAGAGTCATGTTTATAAAGCTGTAGAGTTTACCATCTTAGAGATTAAAGTCCTTTTTTTATAAGGATATCTTAAACAAGTTGATACAGATGTCTTAGGTGATATGTCTTGGACATTTCTTTTCTTCCTTGGATCTTAACTGTGATAACAGGTGTCAGCAATAATACATAAAAGATCCATTCCCATTTTTGTTGTGCCCAATCCCAATATTTGTAGAACAATAAGGTTTCAGAAGGCCTTGCATTTCTTTCTGCCTGCCCACATGGCCATCTGAGAGTCAGTAATCCTTTGTGATGCTGTTGGCATCTGTGTACTGTTGTCACCACCCTCATTGAACTTCTAAGTCACAGGTCTTGTTGGCTGTTGCTTTAAAAGTACCATGCACACCAGGGTTAACACTGTGGTGTTTCTTGCTGTCCTGAAGCTGCTGTGACTAGAAACCCATAGAATTGGTAGTTCCCTACACCTCTGGTACTTCATTGCAACTCCTTCTTGCTTTTCTTTCATCCAGAATGTTCACAGTAGGAAAATTATTATCCAGTACTCTAGGTTAAATCTCATATAAGTAAATTGTTAAATTGTTAGCTTTTGTAGTTGACTCTGTTCAAATATAGTCCTTTCCTTTCCCAATTCAAAGGGTAATTCCAAATTATGGTACTTTGCATTGGTACTTTAGAATTATTTTTTATATATATCATTATATTTTGTCTCTTTCAAATGATAAGTAGAAAATATACCAAATTTTAAAATAATTTATTAAAGGACAGTTAAGAATTCAGGAAGGATTCTTTGTGTAATTGTAAATTTAAAGAAAAATTTTAAGTTAGAAAATGAAAATTCCTTCTAAATGTTTATTTTTAATGCAGTAGTTAAATTGTAAAATATTTTATTAATTTATCAAGTTTTAAAAATAATGTCTACTGCCATAAAAGTAATCATTCTGATAATGAAGTTGTTAAAGACAGTGTGGGAAAAGAGGTCTTCGAGGGCTCTTTCTTTACATTTCAGAGGAAGAAGAAACCGAAAGAAAGACTCAAATGTTCTTGAAATGCCAGTGAGTCCTAAATTCCTACCCAAGTATGTCAAAATACCTGGGTCTTTAAGGTGAAGGTAGAAGGCAAAAGGAGAGTAGAGTAGGAGAAATGCCTTTTTTCCCTCATCCTTCCCAAGCCCAACTTTATATAAAGTGCTGTAACCCAGCTCAATTCAGAAGGGTAGAGTGAAAACAGTGGAGTTGAAGACGCAGAGGTAAGGCAGCAATCTTCCCAGTTCTCTAGGCTGACCTCCTGATTTCTGGCCCTAGATGGAGTGTTCATGCCGAACTTTAGGTAGCATGAATTCACTTAAGGTCTATTGCTTGTAATGGAGGAAACAATGACATTGTATAGCCACAAATACTTAAAATAAGAAATAGATATTAGCCAATATAGTTAAATTGCTTGTTAGCTAAACTAATTCCAAATAGTAACAATTTTATTTAGGCTGGTATAATTTTTTAAATGAAAGAATTTTATAATTTCATCTCCAAAATAATATTTTTGTGTCAATAAATTGTTATAAAATATTTGATATGTCACTTGAATTGTCTGAGGGAGTTCAATTTATGTGATTATAAAATGCTTATTGAGGGCTGGGGATTTAGTTCAGTGGTTCCACTGCCTGCCTCGCAAGCGCAAGGTCCTGAGTTCGATCCCCGGTACCAGATAAATAAATAAATAAATAAATAAAATGCTTATTGAAAGGGTATATTTCTAGTGCTTTAATAAAACATATTATTTTCTTCTAGGGCCTGAAGCTGAAAATACTGAAGTTTTGCCATACCTAGAAAAGGTTGGTATGTATAACAGATTAGCTAGATTAGCTATGTGGATTTAGATTTTTTAAAAATCATGCTGATTAAAGTATCAGCCTCATTTAGACTCCCTCCTGGGAAGAAATAAGACTAATTATTTCAGTAGATAGAAGTATTTTCTTTTTTTATTACTATATGTTTGTAAAGCATAATAAATACATTATCATGGAGAATTAGTATAGACAGACACATATCACATCTTTTTTTTTTTTTTTTTTGGTACCAGGGATTGAACTCGGGTCCTTGTGCTTGTGAGGCAGGCAGCAGAACCCCTGAGATAAATCCCCGGCCCTCACATATCACATCTTGATCCTCTTCTCCTTTCTATCCTCTCCCACCTGTCTCCCCCTCATTCCTAGATCTCCTTCCTAACTCCACAAAGACTACCTCTGTGTTCCTTGTATTTTATTTTGCTCTTTAAGTTGTTTATACTTTATGTTTTTCAGATAGGAGGAACTATGCAATATTTAACCTTTCTTTATTTTGAGTAGTATTAGAGAGTATTGAGAGTAGTATTGAGAGTAGTATTTTGTTTTTTGTAAATACCACATTTTCTATATTCATTCTTTCATCTGTTGATAGACACATAGGCTACTTCCAAGATTTATTATAAATTGTGCTGCTATAAACATGGATATACATGTATCACTGTAATACAGTGTCTTTACCTCTTTCAGGAAGATACTTAGAAGAGGTATAGCTGGATCAAGCAGAATTTATACTTTTAACTTTTGAGGAATCTCCATACTGATTTCCATAGTTGTTGTACTAGTTTACATTCCCACCAATTATGTAGGAGGAAAGGTTCCTTTTTACCCATAACTATACCAGTATTTGTTATTTTTTGATTTCTCGATGATAACCAATTTTTTCTGAAGATGGAATCTCATTGTTTTATTACATTTCTGTAATGACCAACTATATTGAACATTTTTCATGTATTCATTGGACATTTGTATGTCTTCTGAGAAGTATCTGTTCATTTCAGTTGCCAATTTTATGATTAGGTCTTTTATTTTGTGTGGGTCTAATTTTTGAGTTTTTTATATATTTTAGATATTAGCCCTATGTCCAAGGAGTAGCTTGGAAAACATTTTTCCTGTTCTGTAAGTTGTCTTTTCCCTCTGGTGTTTGTTTCCTTTGCTGTGCTGGATTTAAATTTTATATAATCCCATTTGTTTATTGTTGGTATAGTTTCTTGTGCAATAGGGACTCTTCAGAAAGTCCTTGCCTATGCCCATGTCTTCAGTCATTTTGCCTATTTTATCTTCCAGAAGATTGTTTCCATTTTAATATCTGGTCTTTGATTGATTTTAGTACAGGGTGAGAGACATAGGTCTAGATTCATTCTTCTGCATGTGGATACCCAGTTTTTTCAGCACCATTTGTTAGAGACTGTCTTTTCTCCAGCATGTTTTTTGGCCCCTTTATTGAAGACCAGATGGCTGAAGGTGCATGGGATTATTTCTGCATCCTCAGTTCTGTGCCATTGATCAACATATTTGTTTTTGTGCTAGTATCATGCTGTTTTTATTACTGTAGCTCTGCAGTATAACCTGAAATCCGGGATTGTGATGCTTTGTGTTTTGTTCTTGTTGCCAAGGAATGTTTTTCCTAGTCTGGGTCTCTTCTGGTTCCATATGAATTTTAGGATTTTTTTCTGTTCAGTGAAAAATACTTTGGTATTTTGATTGGGATTGCATTAAATCTATGTATCAGTTTTTGTAATATATCCTTTGACAATATTGGTTATTGCCTGTCTAGAAACAGGGAATGTTTTTTCCTCAAGAGATAGAAATATATTCTTGTCTAAAACTTCTTGGAGAATTTACTCTTTCTTATCTTAATAAATAGTGTTTTCTTGATCTGTGTTTCATCTTCTTATGCACATTTCCAGGCTTTTTTGTTGTTGTTCAAGTTAGGAGTCAGAAAGCAGGCAAAAGAGCATAAAATTTGGAACCAGATCTAGGTTCCAAGGGTAACTCTGTTTCTTATATCTGTGAAATATGGACAGTGTTATCTGTTTCACACAGTTATTGTGAAGACTGAGAGCAATGATGATTCATGGTATGTGGCACCTAATGGTGCTAAATAAATACATATTCTTCCATTCAGTCCTTCAGAAATCTTTTAAGGGCTGGCTAAAGTCCTTTCTCCACTGTGGATTTGTTTCAGATGACTCTGATAATCTTGATGAAAGTAATTGTTCCTTTTCTAGCATTCATTTTTCACTAATTATGATGCAGTATTTCCTAATCACTTGCACTTTCTGACATTAATAGATCTTCTGAGGAAAAGGACTATTTGGATAAAAAGTTCAGGGAGCACTATATCTTATAGGATTCCCTCTTCTGTTAACACAGCTTTTCCTTTTTTTTTTTTTTTTTTGTGGGACTGGGGGTTGAACTCAGGACCTTGCGCTTGCAAGGCAGGCATGGCACCGAGCTACATCCACAGCCCCCTGCACAGAAATTAAATACAGTTGAACGGATGATTTACTATCTGTAAATATGTTGCAGCCAATGTTGTTCTTGGTTCACTGTTAATGTTTAACCATATATCAGTCACTGGTGATTTGGTATAGGAAAGAAAGTTGATGAAAACTTTTTGAGGGTAAGCTACAAGCAAAATAAATTTTTAAAACTAGTGGTTCATTTTACAGGTTTTCTTATTTATACTACAATTTTGAAATTTCTCTTTGGAAATATACAGGAACTAAGTGAAGACAGAGACTCCCCTGAAATTAGCCTGCTCTCAAATATTGCTACTACAGTATCTGGTATGGTTGCTGTAGAAGAGAAATCATTAATAGAGACAGAGAAGATCTCAGCAGCACCAAAAAAATCTTACCACCCTGGAAAGGAAGTCACATTGACCATGATTTCTAAAGAAACCAACAATGAAGAAAGCTCACTTGAAACTTTTGTGTCTGCTTTAGAAAAGTTACTAAGGTCACCAGAAAGCACCCAAGAAAAAAGACTGTTTAAAACAATGAATGATTTTGATACTGGAGAATTGATGAACGCATTGAGCAATTCATCGAGTTCCATGTCAGTATCTTTGAGTGCTTTGTCACCATATTGTAGAGATTTACTAGAAAATGCAGAGGATGATGCATTGCCACCTGAGTTGTTGGCAGCCCTGAACACATTGTCAGAAGACAAGACAGAGCTCATCTGTCACAGAAAAAAGGAAGGTGGCAGTCTCAGGGGTAGAAATGAATATTTGGAGCCTGATTCATCTCAGACAAATGAAGATTGTACGCAAATAACAGAGGTGAGTTTTGAGTGTCTTTGTTCTCCTTGACCATTTAAACACAGTTCTAACTTAGCTGAGCTGCAGGACAAAAGTGTTTTCAGTAGAACAAGTAGGTGCAAGTATGAGTCTGATTGTACCACTGATAGTAACTTTTAATGTCTTCATTATATTAAATTCAAACCTTCTATGCAGATGTCAAACCTGAAGCATTCAGTGATCTTTATAGAAGTTCTTGGTAAAGGTTTCAAAAGGTCATAAAGTTAAAATAAGTTTTTCTCCAACAGACCTGAGAAGTTTGCTTGTATGCTAAGGAAAAAATTCTTTACCAGAATTTTCTCTGATAGCTCAGAAAAATCACTTTGTTTCCCTGGGTGCAGAACAGATATGGGATATCTCAATTTATAGTTGTAAATAGAAAATATGCAATTGGGGCTGCCAGATAAGGGAAAAATTTATGCCTAGCTTAGACAGAACTTTGTATCTGCACCTGAGAATGCTGCCAGATATAACTCCTGGGTTTAGAATTCCTACAGCAGTATGCCTGGAGGCCCCGCTGGACTTACAATGTGCCAAGTTCTTTTTCATGTTGATAATTTGCATCTTCCTTATAAAAAATTCAAACATTATAGAATTATGTAATAATCAACAAATAAATTGACATAATAAGTAACAAAAAGTACCCCTCATTTCCACTCTCAAAATAACTGGTAACATTTGGCATATTTGTCTCCAATTATTTCTGTTATATTCTATGTAAATTTATTTTATTCAAGTAGGATTATGTTATACAAGATATTGTGCAACTTATTTTTTAAAAATAATATATCTTGATTATCTTTCAGTATCAGGAAATGTAGCACTACTTAAATCTTTTAATTTGATGAATGGCATTACAGTGTATAAATATACTTTAACTAACTCACTAATGATGATTATTTGGATTCTTTTCTCCCCTCCCCTCACTGCTTCTCTTCTCCCTCCTCCAGTCCCCTCCCCACCAGTCTCTTTTCTTTCCTTACTTTCTCCTTTCTGCCCTTTCTTTACCTCTCTTTTCCTCCCCTCCCCTTCTCTGTTACCAAATGCTCCTTTGAACGTCCCAGAGAAGATTAAAATAACATGATGCTGAGCTCATGCAATATACACATCTGGAATAATATTGCATGCAGTTCTGGTTAACAAATCTCAAACAGATGTAACAGGACTGAAAAAATTCAGAAAAAGAGACAGTAATCATGGATATGAGCATGAAGATTAAATATTGCAGTGTTCTAATCTGGAAAGAAGGAATGTGGATAAAGTGTAGGAAATTATGATTGGCATTAATAAAGTAAACACAAATTTAGCAAGTCTTCAAATAAAAGAAACCTTTTTAGAAGTAGAAAGATTTACTTAGATCAAGTTAAATGCTCTTACTCAGCTGTGATAAAATATGGAAACTTAGCTTGAGAAGGTTTGAAAACTGGATACATAAATCAGCTAAAGAAAGTTTCGATGGAAGGTGAAAATATAAGTATCTTCATGGAAGTTAAATCTGTAATGGATTACAAAGGGTAAATTAGAGCAATTCATGATACTATTTACCTTTTAAAATCAATATAATGGAGGTTATAATCTTGTCTCAAAATATCACTTATTGCTTCTGTCAAATAATGAAATAGGGTGAGTAGACCAACTAACTGGCCTTGTATGACATTTCTAATGTTTTTATGGGTCTTATTATTCTGTACTACCTGTTTCCTGCAAAATTAAAGCACCAGGAGTGACCGTATGTTTTCCCTTGAATTTTTAAGGATAAAATTATTTTTGCTAATGATCTTCTTAAGATTTTAAATATGTGTTTTCTTTTATTAGAATAATTATTATAGAATTTTTCATTATGGCCACATGTTTTTGAATTCATTTATTTTCATTTTATAAGAGGCACTTTTCGTTTCATATAAGAAAAAAAAATTTAATTTCTTCTAGTTTTAATATTTTTTATTGCTATAATTCTTTATGGATGTATTTACATCTTTACAGACTGTAAAAGACTCAAATCCATTTGAATCTCCAAGTTTGGCTCGTCAAAATGTCACCTCTTGTGATCCACTAAACAATAAGAATCCAAATCCCATGGATAATGGTTCTGACCAAGAAACTCCATGTGTGTTGCGGAGATCATCTAGACTGGAAGAACTGAAAATAAGCCGAGATGCAGAGTGTACTGATGACATGTATAAGATGCCAGAAAAGATTGTACCAAAAATGCATAGCTGTGAGGATCAAATAAATAATAAATCAATTGAGAATTTCAGGTATGCATCAAATTACATCTTTCTCTCTAGGCATTCTATAGACCTAGCAGATAATTATATGCTGGGGATGATAGGGTCATTTTAAAGTTACCTCTAAATAAAGAGCTTTTTAAACTGGCTTTTTTTTTTTTTGTACTGGGGATCGAACTCGGGTCCTTGTACTTGCACAACAGGCAGTGAAACCACTGAGCTAAATCCCCGGCCCAGGTTTTTTTTTTTTAATCTACAGTTTTTCACTAGTGTCATGCCATATCATAAACCCTTTATTCTCATGAATAGCTTGCCTCTTTTTCCCTAGTAGATGTATAGGATGGATAGAAGTGCACCAACTTGGGGAGTGAGGAGCAGGAGTCTCATAATACCCATAGCTGTAAGTGACTACACCTAAGGGAGAGAACCACAAAGAGCTAGAAGCCACCAACACTGGGCATGTCTGTCACAGAATTATCTACAGCTTACTCTGTGTTTAAAACTACTTCACCCCTTGAGAACAGTTCAGTAAAATAGCTTTGAGTTTTAAAAGCTTAGTCAAAATTTGGTAGGGTTCTCCATGAATGTTCGTAAAAAAAAATTATAGTTATTTTAAAGTACATTTAATTTTTAAGAATGCAGGATCCTGTTTTAATGATTGAAGATAAAAAGAATATATCCAGATTCAAGGGTAAACAGATCAGGAAAAATGAACGACTTATACTAAAAAAAGGTGAGGCATATTTTAAATATTTCTCTATTTCTTTGAGTTACTTATAGAAACAGAATTTTGGTAGAAAATGTTCAAAGGTTATCTGTTCTCCTTTACTGATAAGGAAATGGAACTTCAGAGATGATAAGGTTTTTACCAACATCACACAGCTTATTAGCAGCATAACTGGGATTTGATCCTGAACTTCTGTCTCATAGGCTGGTATTTTTTTCCATAATTCTATTTTGGAGAGAGTAGCAGTAGAATTCTTTTCAAATTTAGGTGTATGAATAACCTAACAAAAAGTTCTAAGAAACCACAATGAACACTGGAGGGAAGAATAAAACCGAATTATTTTTACGTCTTATTTCTGTTCTTATAAAACCTAGAAGATTGAACTAAAAACTCAGTTATAATAAGAAAATCTAGAAACGCTGGCTAAAAAATAATTTTGAGACAGTGGTGACAATTGAAATATGGACTATATATTGTATTATTGTTAAATTATCTGAATTTGATGACTAATATAATAATATTTTTATTCTTAGAATATACACACTTAATGTTAAAAGGACATATATAGAGTTATTCATTTTCTGTACTTACATTTATATGTATGTGCTGTGTATGTGTGTGTATATATATATATATATATATGTATAAAGAGAGAGGTGGAAGGACCTAAAGTTATGGCAAAAATGTGAACAATGAAGGAATCCTTTATTTTTTTATCTTACAGTACTGGGAATCAATCCCAGGGCCTTGTATATGCTAAGCAAGTACACTACCACAAAGCTATAGCCCTGCCCACTTTGTTTGTTACAACTTTTCTGTAAGACTGAATTTATTATATAGTAAAATTTATAAAAATTCAGTAAATCAAAAGAAAAGTTTTAAAAGTTAATACGTTTAATATATAAATATAAACTAAATGATATGAGAAGCTCTCATTCATAATTGTTACAAAAGAAAAAAATGTCTACTTTTATAACTAACAAAAACCTATAAAAAGAAAGTTTAAAATTTCTGCTGAGGGACATTTTTAGAAAAGGAATAAATGAACAACTGAATAGAAGAAACTTGTTCTTGACTAGAAATATTTCAGCATTGTAAGCAGTTCACTTCTCTTTATAAAAAAAGATGTTTATTCATTTTTTTTTATAAGGCTGGAGGATCAGTATGAGAATGTTATAAAATGACACTAAATCATTTATGTAAAGCCTGTTGTGATGATGCACTCCAGTACTCTGAGCTATTTAGAAGGCTGAGGCAGAGGATTACAAGTTGAAGGCCAACCTGGGCAATTTAGTGAGACCCTGAAATAAAAAATAAAAAGGGCTGAGGATGTAGCTCAGCGCAAGGCCCTGGGTTCAATCTGCAGTACTGCCACACAAAACAAAGTTAAAAAAAAAAAAAGACAAAAAATGGTTAATTTAATTTACTAATATTTAAAAACTAATTACATTTATCTCTTTGTGGTGGATTAACTGTAATGGCCAACTTGTAACACCCAGCTGAACTGAGTCAGCGTCTTCTGGGCATGGAAGATCCACCTGAGGATTGTTGCCAATAGCATAAAAAGGGAACTAGAAGGGAAGATCGGGGCTGTTCTAGAAGCTTGCAGTGATTGGTTTTCCTGATGCGAACTTGGCTGTTCTCGTTGGAGTGGGAGTTCAGGTCCTTACTGTGTTTGGGAATGTCTCCTGTTCTCCTCAGGGATCTCTGATCTTCATGGTGAAAGTCTCTTCCTGGCTCCAGTGTAGATCTTTCAGCCTGGTGGTACAATTCCTTCACCCCACTGGCATGGATTTTCTGGCTTCCACCACTGCCTTTGATCTTTGCTGGAGCAGATCCTCCTCGATATGGACAAGCATGAGACATTGCCATGCGTCTAGGCCACTGGCTGGGCTCGTGGAGGACATTGGCTTGGACTCTAAGCATTCAGCTGGACTTGGTGTGGGACATTGCTGTGGGATCCAGGCTCTTGGCTGGATTCTTTGGGTCTCAAGTGTGCAGCTAATCTCTTGCACTTCTGTGCATTTGACTTTTTGGGTGACTATTATAAAATAATCATATAAATTGTGTCCTATATTAAATCTATTCCCTTGCAAACCCTGACTACAACACTCTTTCTACTTTTTGTATGTAAATAACATTATAGTTGGATTAATAGATGAAATACTCTCTCATAATATAATACAGTATTTCTTCCAGAGTGTTGACTGGATTTATCCAATTACTTCTCTTCATCCTGGTTTTCAAATAAAAATTCTTGTCTTGTGTTTATTTTCTCATTTCAGAAAAACTGAAGATTAATAAAATGCCTCTCTCTGGTATAAACCGGAGAAACGTTTTTGGAGAAACCTTGCTGTATAGGGCTGCTCTATATGATGATGCTGATCTTGTTCAATGTTGTATTAAAAAAGGTGCAAATGTTAATCAGCCAAGTTATGCCGGTAAGTTAGGGTTACCATCCATTGTTTTATTGAGATGTGGTTAGCTGAATCACCCTTATGAAAGTATGGCACAGTGGGCCTGAAGTAAGTTCCAGACAAAAAGCTTTTGGATAATTTTCCTGCTTAAGAAGCTCTTCAAACATTACTATTATCTATCTCTCAGGGAAGAGATAAAGAGGGTGGTGGGCAGCAGGAGAAGAACATTATATTTCTCCTTCAGAGATTATGCCAGATGGGCTATGTATAAGACGCTGCAGGAAGGAAGGTGGTTCCTGGGGATAGCATCACATGGTCATTATTTGTGAAATTCAACCTTAAGTGGAGGAAGAAACTGATGGTACACAAGGGAAAATTCATGATACAATGGGAGAACTTAACTCTGAGGTTATACTGTATAAGCAAAAATAATGGCCAGGGAAATGGAGAGAATAGAGTATGAGGTAGAAATGGTGGGACAGGGAGCTCAGAAATAGAGCAGTCTTTCTTTAAGGGTGTATCTCTGGTATAGTCTGCCTTGTGGGAAGAACCTCACATGTTCTGGAGAAGAGGAGTAATTCCTTAAATATACTAAAGTACTTAAATGCATTGCACTTCACTGAGCCAGCCTGGACATTTTTTCTTTTATTTCTAGATTTTCTCACTTTGTAAAATAGTGCAAAAAGTCTATAGCGCAGAATTGGTATAGCACAGTCCCTGAACAAGTGATTATGGGTGTTCTTCTAGTACCTGTGTTAACAAGACTGTGTTTTACACTATAATTAAGGTCTTATCAGGATGTTATTTTAAATCTACATGTGGCTACCACCACCGTCCTACAATGCTCACTTTGAATACTTATTTGTAACCAGAGCATTTGCTCCTTTGATTTTAAGAACTTTGTATTTCTTTCTGTTAGCACTCTTTGTCTGCTCATTGAGTCCAGGAGTTGTTCTATATGCAGCCAGCTTTGATTATGGATTTCCTAGTCATCTCAAAGTACTTCTTTTCATTAGCTTCTGTTTTTCTGTGCTAGTTTTATATCCTCCGTAGCCATTCCTTGCTTGTCTTTAGCCAATTTTCTCAGTGTTTTAGGTACTTCTGTGACCTTCATGAATTCTCTATTCTTATTTCCCAGGCTTTTTGAACTTTCTTAGTCTTTACTTTTTCTTCTCATTTTGGATCTTACCTATTTTTTCTTATTTCTAGCTACTTCCTCCTTCACAGTTACAGAAGGCAGTCTTCCACAGAAACATCTGCAAACCATTTTCATCAGAATTACCTACAGAGTTTGTATAAAATGCAACCATTGTTTCACCTCCACATACACCTGTATATGTGTGAACATATATGAACATACAGTCAATCAAAATCTATAGATTAAAATGTGGAAATCTGTATTTTAACAAGTTTACCTAGTTGATTTTTATGCTCTTGAAACTTAAACTACTGATAAGAGGTATAAAACTTTCATGTAACATATCAGCTCGATATAGTGAGCTTTTTTGTATTGTTTCCTATGTGCCAGATGCTTTATCAACAACAAGATTAAGAATTTCTACTGAAAAGGGTTAAACATATTTTTACTATACACCTCCCTTCCAGAAAAGCTAAATACCTTGTAAGAAATGGACAAAATATAGTAATAACAAACTCACTACCTTTTCATAGGTACCATTTGTATTTTATAGATACTTACTTACTTTTTATAATATCTTTGCTTTTTTTGACATAGATCTGTGTTGCCTAGGCTGATCTCAGACTTCTGGGCTTAAGCTCCCTGGTTCACTCTCCTGAGCAGCTGAGACTATAGTTGTGTCCCACAGCACCCAATTAATATTTTTCCTTCTGATTAAAGGTTTTTTGAGTAATTCTTTACTTATCCAAAAACAGAGGTGACAACCAGGAAATTGGCTAGAACAAAACTCTAAATACTCAAAATGGATCTCATAAAGCCTCTTTACTAAACCCCCCTCAGACTAGTATGCTGAGCTTTGTTTTATACAGAATTCTGTTTTTTACACTTATAACATGTTAGGACTGAAAGAACAAGAATTGACACAGTACATGACATTGATAAGTTTAAGCCAATACCAAAGCAAGAACCAGGTAACAAAAAATGGGGAGTAAAATTTTTGTGGACCATGTGTTATAAAAGATAGTGTAGTTCATACTTTTGTGAGTATTGACAGTTGCTTGCATTATGACATATATCAATATTGGTTTTCTTTGGATTTTTTTTGGTACCGGGAATCGAACTCCAGACCTTGTGCTTGCAAAGCAGGTGGCGGAACCAGTGAGCTAAATCCCCGGCCCCTATGTATCAATATTGTAATCCTGCATCTTTAAAAAATTTAAAAATTTTATTTCTTACTTTGACAGATCACATTATATGTACTTATTTTGTAGAATGCAATGTTTAAAAAAACATTGGTGGTTATAACTGAAAAAAAGAATGCAGTGTTTTAAAATATACATACATTGTGGAATGAGTAATTGTAGCTAATTAATATATGTCATACCTCACATACTTATCATTTTTTGTGGTGAGAACTCTTTATACTCTCTTTATTCAAGAGTACATTATTACCTATAGTCACCATGTAGACCCCTTGAACTTAGACTGTCATACTGAAATTTTGTATTCTTTGACCGACATCACCACATCCCTCTCTACTAAACACCTCAGCCCCTGGTAATCATCATTCTATCCTCTACTTCTGTGTTATAAACCTTTTTTGATTCACATAAGTGAGATCATGTGGTACTTGTCTTTCTGTGCCTGGCTTATTTAACTTAACATAATGTCCTCTGGATTCATCCATGTTTTCTCAAATGACAGGACTTCATTCTTTTTATTGTGGATGAATTATATTCTATTATTAGAAATATAATACATATATATGTATGTATATTCTTGCACATTTTCTGTATCCGTTCATTGATGGCCACTTTGGTTGATTCTATATGTTGGCTGTTATGAATATGCTACAGTAAACATGGGAGTGTAGCTATCTCTTTGATGTGCTGATTTTGTTTCCTTTGGACATATACCCAGTGGTTGGATAGCTGGATCATATATTAGTTGTGCTTTTCATTTTTTTGAGGAACTTCCATTTGTTCTCCATAATGGTTATACTAATTTACATCCCTACCAGTAATATATAATAGTTCTCCTTTCTCCACATCCTTGAGAGAATTTGTTATTTTTGTCCTTTTTGATTGTCCATTATGACTGGAGTGAGATTATATCACGTGGTAATTTTTGACTTGTATTTCCCAGATGATTAATGATGGCTGAACATTTTTCACCTGCCTCTTAGCCATTTGTCTGCCTTCTTTTGATACATGTTCATTCAGAGCATGAGTATGTGTGTGTGTGTGTGCACGTGCACATGTGGGTGCATGTGCATTTGCTGAGGATCAAACCTAGGGCCTTGCAAGCACTCCAGTACTGAGCTATATCCCAAACCCATCATTTGCCAATTTTTCTTTTGTCAAATTTTGTGATAAAATGATTCTTTTCATCATTGTGAAATGTCTCTCTTTATTGCTAGTAAGTACATTTTTGTCTTGAAGTCTGCAATGATATAAATACAGATATCCTAGCCATCTTGTGTTTATAGCTTGTTAACTCTTTTCATCCTCTTATTTTCCACCTGTCTTTATATTTAAAACGTTTCTTCTCATTAACAGTTTTGCTTTTTTTATTCATTCTGCCACTCTTCCTTTTAATTGAAAATTAGTCAATTTACATTTAATATAAAAGGTTGGATTTAAGACTGCCATTTTACTAATTGTATCATATATGTTTATTTTGTCTTTGCCTTTTCCCTCTGGTTTTTGTAAGGATTATATATATACCTCTAATATTTCAGCCTTCTTAGAATTAATATTATAATAACTTCATTATAAAATGAAGAACATTGATTCCATCTTATCCTTTATGCCATTAACTATTATATGTATGGGACCTCTATATGGTATAAATACCAAAGCATAATGTTACAATTTCTTTCGTGAATAGCCATATGCATTTAAAGGAACTGTATAGGGAAAATAAACCTCTACTAACTATATATTTATCATTTTGGTGGTTTTCATTTCTTCTTTAAGACTTTATAAACAATCTTGTAGCAGAAACTCCTTCAGTATTGTTTTATGGTAGTGATTTTCATCTAGATTGATTTTGCCCTCCAGGGAACATTTGTATATATATATTGCATTGAGGCCAGGGATGCTGCTGAACATTCTATGATGCTCAGAACAGCAAATGTCATGCAGTCTAACATGTCAGTGCTAAGATCAAGAAACCTAGAAGAAGGTTGTGAAAAGACCAACTGAAATATACTTTTTTAGGTTCTCATATCTATCATATTATTTATTAGAATTTAACAATTATCTGTACCTTATATCATCTGTGGGTAACAAAGCAAAGGATATTTTATATAAGGACGAAAGATTTTCTTGGAGCAATTTATGGTTTTTAGTTGAACTATATAAATATATTTACAAATAAGGAGAAATAAAAATAATATACATTTGAACTGACTCATAATGTAGTCTTTCTACCTCAGTTACTTTAATGGAAGTACAATGAAGTAGAAATAAAGCCTTTCCCTTTTTCTCTGCAGAAAAGTAGCCTGCAGCCAGTATACTTTATTAGCTAAAAATTGACCTATACAGCTTTTTATATGGCAGTCAGGAGCACTTTAAATATTTGACTTGTTTTCATAGTTTTTATAATGGAGATTAGGGTTAAGAATTTGATTTGTTAGGGTGGGGATTTAGCTCAGCACCACAGTACCTGCCTGGCAAGTGCAAGGTCCTAAGTTCGATCCCCAGTCCCCCCCAAAAAAAAAAAAAAGAATTTGATTTGTCCCTCAGATTTATTGAATCTACCAAATTATACAGAGTGCATTCATGGTAATATTATATATGATATGTAAATATACTTTTTATATTTTTATATAATCAAAATATTTTTAAAGAAACCTTCTAGAATTAAAGTTTTTTAAAGGGTAAGTACAAAACAGTGTTAAGATGCCAAATATAAACAAATATGATTTACTTTTTTGTATAGGTTGGACAGCACTTCATGAAGCTAGTGTTGGAGGATTTTATCGGACAGCAAATGAACTATTAAAAGGGGGAGCAGATGTAAATATCAAAGGAATGTACCAGATCACTCCCTTACATGATGCTGTTGTAAATGGACATCATAAGGTATTATAATGCTTTTGTTTGCAGGAAAAATCCTATATTCTGTAAATATTGGATAATACTAGGACTACACAATAGAAAAATATATAGGAGTTTCAGTTTCAGTTCATTCTGGTAATGAATACTCAGAATTTAAAACAAAATTTACAGGGTGATAGCTTTGTCATGCTGCGCCTAATATGGTAGATGCTTTTATATTTTCTTTGTTAACTTGCTTTTTTTTGAGGTGGGGTCTTGCTATGTTACCCAGGTTGGTCTTGAACTCCTAGGCTCAAGAAATACCCCTGCTTCACCCTCCCAAGTAGCTGGGGCACATGTACATACCACAGTGCCTGGCTTGTACATGCTATTCTATGTATTATTTTTATTAACTCTACAGAGTATCTTTGTTTAAATATATTTTTCAACTTGTCCTTTAATACTCTTCATATGGTGCTTTATAGGCTTTCGAAGAATATTTCCCCCTTATGTAGAGTGTTACACAATGATGTCTGGTCGAATAGGTTTATAGCCTCCTGGAGTTTAGTGTCATTTTCAAAATCAGCATTAGTCATCATGAAGTACATATCAGCATAGCTGTATGCCTGGTTAAAATACGACTATTCCATATAACTATAAAATAAATTATATCATGAAATAAGATGATGAATTCCAGTATACATGATTTATCTCAGAAACCATATATGCTCTGAGCTTCCTGCATATTTTTTCTTGTCCAGGCACTACATTGCAAAACTGAGGCACTTGCTAAAGACTCCCCTCCTCTTCCATCTCTTTTCCTCTGCTGTGCTCTGCTCCCCTTCTCTCCCCTCTTGGGGTACTGGGGATCCATGTACTTGCTAGGCAGGCATTCCCCCAGTTTCTAAAGAAATCTTATTGTTTATTTCATATATTAGAAATTGCTTGTCTGTTCAAACTAGGGTGGAAAAGGAGGTTAATCAGCTGAGCTCAGGAGTTCTGTTCAGAAGAAATACATAACATTGGTACAGGTGAGGAAGACTTCTGGGAGCCTTGGGCATGGACAGGGCATATTTCTTTGTAATATGGAAAGTACTTTAGGAGAGTTTTGACAGTTCTGCTTATTTTGATAATGTATTGTTTTGTGGTAGGCAGAGATACATTTTATAGAGGGCTGCAGGAAGAGATTCCTCCTGGGACCCAATTTAATGGCCAGAAGAGTGCAGAATCAGACGAGTGATGTGAGACAGACTCTCTGTCCTTTTCCCTCTTTTAAGATCTAACCTCCATCAAAGAAACCACGTGTCAAAGCACTTCTTTCCTGTCCTTGTTGTCATCTGCTCCCTCACTTGCCAGGGCTGCCCTATTTTAGTCAAGTCTTTTTTCCTTTTAGGTAATGTAACCCTGAGCACTTTACTTTTTCTTCTTTTCTTTCTCTTTTCTTCTTTGTTCTCCTTGGTAACTCTACTCAGTTTTTCCCTTACAGGCTAACACTGCTATCTACTCTCTGTCTACTATTTATTCATATATGTCCTTCTCTGGTTCCCTCAGTAAAGTAAAATGGATCGAAGACACAAGCCTCCTGTACCAGAGTCCAGCTTGTGTGTCTCCCTCTCCCTTGCCAACCCCCAGTCTCCCTATGCCTCATGTACTCCTGGCACCAAGGCATATCTTGACTAATGATGGGAGAAAAGAAAATCATTAGACTGGATGACTAGGCAACAGTAAGGAGAATTAAAAGCTGAAACCCAGTGGATGTGGCGGGGGTGGATCACAGTATTTTTTAGCTTCTCTTTCTGCTTAGCTGAGAAGAACCACCAAGTAACTTCACCTGGTCCAGGAGAGATGGATAAAACCCCATTCTGAAACTGTCTTAGCAAACAGCCTTCAGAGTCAAAGGGGGACAGGATGTGATTTGGGAGGATGGAGTAGGAATGGTGATAATGTCACGGGAAATATGAAACATTATATCTCTCAACCTGTTAACTCTATGATACGCCGAGTTTTTGTTTTTCAGAAATTGGAGAATGAGTCCTAGGAACAACAGAGGTTAAAAACAGGAAGATATTTATTGATAGAAAAGCTCTTGAGGGGCAGGAGGGGTCCCGAGTGGTTAGCCTAAGGACCCCACTTCACGGAGAAGTTTTATAGGGTGAAACCCATGTGAGTACAACGTGGGCCACAGCCATGAACATCCAAGAAGGTTATAAATATAGTCACTTAGGTAGTGGTGGTCCAGTTGGGAAGCGAGTCATGTAGCCAACGTGAATGGAAAGAACAAGGATTTTTCTAGGAGGTGGTGGGTCCAGAGGTCTCTGGTCACCCCCAGGGTGGTCAATGCCTGTCTATACTTCACTAAGCCCAGTTCTTTGAAGAAGTATGTGGGTCTGGTCATCTTGTCTCTGTCTGGAGGCCTGGTTTTCAGCCAATGTGCAACTGTGGTGTGTTTCACCTTTGTCCTGGCCTATGGAGGACTTAGCCCTATCTGACTGCCTGTAGTATTTTTACCTAGCTCATCTATCTATAATAGAAGCATCAAATGAAGAGCTCAACCTATCTTGGGAGTCTCTTAGTTGAGGCTAAGATGGTCAGAAAAATGGTCTGGATCCTGGGTATTGATCTGATGCCTTAGCTATTAGGACTATGGATACTGACAGGGAAGCCCTGAGAGTCTGATCCTGGCCTAGCGAGTATGAGCTTCCTTGAATGTTCCAGCTACTTGACAGGACCTCTGAGATATGAACTTTTTTTTTTGGTATCAGGGATCGAACTCAGGACATTGTGCTTGTGAGGCAGGCAGCGGAACCACTGAGCTAAATCCCTGGCCCTCTGATATATTATTGTATAAGAATTCACTATGCTTGTGGAGAAAGAAATACTAAAAGCTAAATAACTGTATTTTCTAAAAAGTGGGAAAGTATCCAGCCTCTGCACAAAATTATTTGATTCCATTTATTTGAAATATGGCTGTTACGGCTTGAATCTAGATGCCCCCCTGAAGCCTCATGTGCTCATTGGTGAGGCTTTTTGGAGGTGCCTGTGATATAGGGGGAATAGATGTAACTCCCAAATCTGCTAGATATCCAAAACATGAGAGAAATATGAATTTCTCTAAAATTGAAAAATGAATTCTAGGAACAACGGAGGTTAAGTGTAGGAAAAATTTATTGAAGGATAGCTTCTCTCTAAGAGAGAGGGGGGACCTGAAAGTGGCTTGCCTGCACATCCCAGTTTTCAAAGGCATTTTATAAAGCCATGAGATGAGGTGGGTACAAAGTGGAACAAAACTATAAGACGCAGAGGGAAATTTCAAGGTGGGTATGAGGTAGAACAAAACCATGATCACCCAAGAACAGTACCAGTACAGTGACCCAGGTAATATTTTTTTTCTTAAATTCTTTTATTGGTACATTTTAGGTATACAATACACTTACATTTATCATTGTGTGCTTGTACCTGCACATGATGTATCTTGGTTCTTATTTTTTCCACATTACCCGTGTGCCCTTTGCTACCTCCACCCTTCACTATTTACATAGACTTTGTTTCCGTTTTTTTCTTTCTCACAATTTTTCCTTTCCCTTCTTTCCTTTCGCCTTCCTTGCCCACGTCCCCTACCCCTTTGGACCTTTTCTTGCTATTTCAAATTATCAATTATTCGTTTTAATTATTTTAATCCTTATTTACACTTTCAGTTTCTCATACCAGAGAAACTATTCGGTATTTACACATGTGTGTCCTATTTATTTCACTTAAGAGTATGGCCTCAATATAGATC